GGATTTTGGGCAATTTTCGCGATATTTTCCCCAAAACCCTCAAAATATGCAGTAAAATATGCATTATGCAGGAAAGTCTGAAATATGCAAAAATATGCATTATATGCAAATAGAAACCCCCTCTAAAGTTTTTAAACAAAGCTAAAACAGTGTTTTTTGTGCTTTATACATGATGCCAAGTTTGCAAAAAAAATATGCATTTGCATAAAAATCACAGCTCTACTCATAAGCAATATGGAGGCATTGCAAATATGGAACAATCAGGTAAGTTCAAATTCAACCCAACACACTTGATCAACATTGGCCAGAGAATGCTATTATAACTGGATTGGACAAACTACAACAGCTTCACTGTAAATTGTGTAGACAAGAGAAGAAAAGATATTAGGCAAATAATGTAATCATCTGTCAATCAAAATTACGTCCTCACATTTAATTGCGAGGACAGCAGAAGAAAAGAAAAAGAAAAAAAATTTGGAAAAGAAGAAATGGAAAGAAAAGGATATTTGCAATCAATATAATTATTTTTGAAGAAATCACGTTCTCATAGTTCTCTATGTGAACAACGGAAGCGAAAATTATGGGGGAAATAAAATTGTATCAACTTGAACATCATAACTAATGGTCCCCACATTCATCTGTGAGGACAAAACGAACTCAAAAGTTGGAATCAACGGACCTAACAACATTTAAATTGTTGTCCTCGCAGTCTTCTGCGCGGACAATAGAAGCAAAAGGTATTTGAAAAGAATTGTAGCCCTAGGAAATTTAAACTAATCGTCATCACAGTTCCCTGTGTGGACAAATTTTCTCAACAACGAGATTAAAAGATTAAAGTTGTCGTTCTCACAGTTCTCTGTGTGGACAAATAAATGATATGAGTAAAATAGTGGAATCATCTTTACATAAATATTCCATGTCCTCACAGTTAGCTGTAGGACCACATAATGGAAAGTCATCTGAATCAACATACAATTATATAGAAAGCAAACTCAACATCATTTAAACTTGTTCACAGTCCACTGGGCGAACAAAATAGAGCCACAACTGAACTAGGGAATCAAAATTGTACTTCATCACATTTATTGGTTCCGACAAACGAACGCAACAATAATATTTCAAATTGTAGTCAACACAGTTCACCTGGTTGACAGAAGGATCAGCAACGGAAAGAATATAACATTTAAATTGTACGTCTTTACAGCTCAATTTGTGCAGACAAAAGAATTCAACTGAAAATAACAGATGAATAACAAAGGTCCGGAAGCTACACTTGCCGGATTCAGAAATACAACAATAGTAAAAGATAGAACTCGTGATTGTGCTAATCAACAGTTGTGACTTGAACTTCATAGTCCATACCTTCAAATGGGTGGACAAATCAAAAAGGGATTTACTTTAATTTACAGCTGATAAATTTGGACGAATTATACAACAATTTATGGTTTGTATGTTCAATCAATTTATGGGTTGCATGTTTGTAAAATAAAGTTAATGAAGTTCGGAAGCTCCGCTTATCGGACAGTTGAATAAATGGATTGACGTGAAATTTTTCTCTGCAACTTCGACGAAAATAAAAAATAAGTAAAATATTTTTTTAAATCAACAGAAGCCCAATATAAAAATATTCTTATATTCTACTTCTCGAAAGGGGGGAGAAGATAGAGAAGTGGATCTTTGCTTGAACTCTTCTGCAGCATCTATAAATGGATAGACAACATGATCAATCAAGCAACATTACCTTCAAAGGATATCTTAGAAATGGGAAATTTGTCCGTTGAACTATGTTCTCGGACATTTGGGGAAACTTTATGTGTTTGACAAAAACAACAAAAAATATTTCAAATAGAAATAACTAAAAGGAAAATTTGAAGTTAAGTTTATTTTGAGGTTTAGCTTCTGCTGATCCTCTTTGACAAGTTTCAGGGACAAAGTCTCTTAAATTGATCTACGACGGAATTTCAATACAACGGCACAATATGAAATTAGCAACTTCTCGAAAGGGGGGAGTGTGTCGGAGACCCGACAATGAAAGCACTTGCTTTATTGGGAAATAATATTTCCTTTCCCTGATTGTTATCGAGGCGTATGGGAATTGTTTTTCTCCCGTATATTTGATACACTATACCCGGTCCCTCACCTCCAGTAAAGGTGATTTTGTTGTGAAATGCTCCCGCTAGACTACAATAAATATTGTCAATCTCTCTTCGAGCGATTGACTTTCCCACACAAACATTTATGGAAAGTTTTATGGTCTTGTCACATCTCTCAGAGTTTGTGACTATTAACCTTTCTAGTAATGGATTAACTTCCGCTATGTCGAAATTCTCATAGTTAACGACTTTAATTCAACTGGTGATCAAATGGCTCTTTTAATCAACTGGCTATGTCGCTCTCTCTGAGAAGCGACCTTTGCTTAATGGTGGGAATGTACACAGCCGCGACTACTCTGCATGCGCTGGCCTGGTCTATTTAAAGAAAAGAAGACTCTCCACAAAGATGCTCAGTTTAGCTGCTCAGTTTTTAACTGCTCAGTTCTGGGATGTAGAGGGAATAAAAGAAAATATCTATTTTCCCCTTTCTCCCCTTCCCTTTTTCCTGTCCCCTTCCTTTGTAAATAAATTTATATTTTTATTTTATGCTTTTAATTATTTGTATTTAATTTAATTTAAATAAACTATTTATTATTTATTCTTTAATTAATATTAGTAATTAATTATTAAGTACTTCAATTATTATAACGAGTCTTCCCGCCCAATTATTTAATTTTAGGTAGCCTCAACGACTAAATTCCCGAGTTCAGGGGTTCTCCCCGGCTCATAGGCACAAGCAAGCCCGGCAAAACCAAATGGCCAATTTCCTGGATCCAACGTCTACTCATCTTTGGCGGCATCTTGCCAAACTTACGTCGCAGGCCCTCGGGTCTGCGACAATCAATAAAGATAGGGAATTATTTACTAAAAATCAAGGCTGGGCAATTTCGCATTTTAGCGTTTCGCATCTTTCGCATTTTTCACATTTTTCAGCGCGAAAAGTTTCGCATTCCGCATTTCGCTTTTTATTTTTAGATTTCGCCCAGCCCTGCTAAAAATAATGGAAAAAAAATTGTTTATTTTTTGTTCGAAATAAAAAGGGAAAAAGGGAGAACGGTTAATCATTTTGAAATAAACAAAAGAAAAATGAGAGAATTTATCAAAAGGTCTTCCAAAGTTTCCACCAAAAGATGTCCGATTTTAATTAAATATTAATTTAAAAATTTATAACAAAAAAAAGTTTACAGAAAATTTAACAAAATTCCCCCTCCTCATCTCCCCTTCCTTCCATCCAAATAAATCTTTCCATTCATTTTTATTTTTCCAATTTAAAGCATTATTTGTATACATTGACACAAGTATTTTTTGTTGTTCTTCTAAATCTCTGAGGAAAAGGACTACCTACAAAATTTTAAAAAAAAAAATTAATTTTTCTATAAATTAAAGGAGCCTATTCCCTATTGGGTAATTTACCGACTAAAATTTTCTTTGGGGATTCTAGTTCTTTTAAATATCTTTCTCGTGTCTGATAATTTCTATGACCGGGGTTTCAAGGCCGGGTAATCCGAAAAAGGGATATTTTGATAAAATTTGCTTTTTCGGGCTTCCTGGTTTTCAGGGGGTTTTAACTCAAAAAACCTGGCCCGGGGTTTTTTAAGTTTAAAAATCAAAAACCGGGGGCTCTAGTCAATCTAAAAATGTCAAGTTCTAAGCGAACACACTTTCCTACAATTTTTTGTTTGCAAAAATTCTGCCCAAAAAGTTAGCCGAAAAATTCAAAAAAATTACGTAATTTTTCTATTAATTAAAAAAATATTTTAAATACATATGTACTTTACGGGCACTTTAAAAATCTTAAAAGAATTTTTGACAAAACTTCCCCCAAAATTCTTCCCAAATTTTAAATTAAAATAAAATTTAACTGGAAATATATTTAAATTATTTAATTGTTTTTTTCTTCTAAAATAAATAAAATTTGAAGTATTTTTGAGTAAAGCTAATAAATTAACAAATTCTGAATTTGTTAATAAATAATTAATTTCTTGTAATTCAATAAATATTGCTGAACAAGTAATTGAATTTATAAATAAAGTTTTGGTACAAAATAGTTGAATTGAAGAAAATATTTGGTTATAACCTTTTTTTAATTAGAAATTTTATTTTTTTTTTTTGATAAAAATAGAAAAATTAATATTTTGTAAGGCCGGAAAAGTTTCTCTTCGAACCTAGTAAATTAAACAAAAATGAAAGTCAGTGATGAGATCAGTCACTAGAGATCGAGCTGGGCCTGGACCAATGCCTGGGTTTTTTCTGTACCCAGAGTCAGGCCTATGCATTTTTTGACCTCTTGGGGTTTCCTGGACCTGGGTTTTTTCTGGGCTACAGGCCCAGGATCCAGCCCAGGTCAATAAATCAAACCTAGGAACAGGCCCAGGCTTTTCAAAGATCCCGATCTCTATCAGTCACAGCTCAATAGGGTTGTACTCCGTCCCCGAAAGTCGGGAAATTTGAGTTTTTTGAAAAATTTTCTCCGTGGCCCTCCCACCGTTGGGGAATAATCCTACTGCTCGACCGCCCCACCATTGACTGGTTGAACATTGAAAAACTTTTATGGTCGAGTTCCGTCCAATCTTTTGTTAAGGTCACTTTTTATAAAACAATGAACGAATTGTACTAAATAATATTGACCCAAACATAAAATTATACAAAATCAACAAAACGTGCTTTGAACAAAAAATAGAAAAATTCTGATTTTTTTCTGAAAAGCAATGCCCCAAAATACTTTTGGTGTAGTGGGAAAATCTCAAATTTCTGCTGCTATATGGCTCTGGTTCGAGTCCAGCCTTTGGATATTATTTTAAAAAATACGTATTTGAGTGCCAAAAAAATTTAAAATTAATTTTGAGTAATTCTGAGAAAGTTCTGATTTTTTTCTGATTTTTAAGAACGATTCTTCCCCTGATTTTTTCATTTTTTCATTAAATACCTACCGTAATGCAAGTGAATCATTGAAAGATTATTTGACCGTGGAATGCCTCCAATTAATTCTGGAAGTTTTAAACTTGGATTTGTTCTAAACCAATGAATCTTTAAAAGGAAAAAATTTAGTAAAAATATTTTTAAAAAATTTATTTTTTTACATTGTTTCCTCCACTTTCTGCCAATTTTAACGATTCTTCAAAAATAACATTTAAAGGTTCTTCTGTATCCGGATCATTAGCATCAATAAAAAGTACAAGAATATTTGAATTGGGCACAGATTCAGGAGATTTATATGTTGAGAAATACATTACAATTAATTCAAAATTTAATCTAAAATTTATTTTATTTTGGTTGTGCGCCAAAACTTTTTTATAACGCGTTGTAACGCCAACTTTGGCGTTTTGTGTGGAAAATAAATTGTGGCGCACAACAAGACATGTGTAAATTTTCTAGAAAATTGAGGAAAATCGGAGAAAGGCAGGGAAATAATTTCAAAAAAAATTCAGAGATTGATCATAATTTCTGAACCAATAGAAGCGCTTGCCGTATTAGAAGCCCACTCAATGAGGAGGTATTGCAGAATAAACGCCTATGCCCTTAATTTAAATAAATTATTTTCTTCAAAAGATAAAATTTTTTCCAAATTTCCCCATTAGAAACCCACCCAGTGGGACCCATTGAAAAATAGACGCCCAGGGCTTCTATAGTAACATTTACGGTAAATCAGAAATATATTATTAAAAAATACAACTAGTGTGCCGTAAATGCTGAAATAATGTCCCTCTCAAATAATTACCCCCTCCATATTAATTACCCCCGCCAGCGAGAGATCGAAAAAATAATTACCCCGGGTAATTATTTTAGCAAATACGGTGTCTACACTTTTATTGAACACCAAAAAATATTTAATTTATTGTAAATTTCTACAAAATTAAATATTAAAAAATCAGAACATACATAATTAATTAATTTATTCATTCACACATTTTTTTGTTATTAAAAATTCTTTTAAAAAATTACAAAAAATATTTTTATCAAATTTTGGGAATTTATTTAATTCAAATAAATTATTTTCTTCTTCAAAAAATAAAATTTTTTCCAAATTTTCAGGAATTGTACAAATTAAATACCCTTCTTTTTCCAATTGTTTAGCTAATTCTAATTGGTGATTATTCATTAAATTGTTGTTAATTATCGCAATAAAAGGCTTTTCTAATTCTAAAACTTCCAAACAAGTACCGGCACCGGCATGTCCAATTATTAAAGTGGCATCTTTTAAAAAATAAAAGAAAAAGTTTTTAGAGAAATAAAAAATATTTGAAAAATATTTTTTAAAAAAATTTAAGCCTAATACGAAGCCTAAGCCATTTCAAAAACCATAAGGCGACTACTTGCCAAGCAGAGGTCGATCGGAATTCCGATTTCCGAAAAATTAGGCTGATTTCCGAGTTCCGACTTTTGAGCCATTTCCTATAGTTCAGATTTCCGGCACCTTCATCATTTCCGATCGACCACTGTTGCCGAACCCCCCACATAGGAGAGCAATTTCCTCTCCCCTATCTTACAATGTGTACCCAAGATACTGGAACGGGTAAGGAACTGAACCTCAATGGATCTTCCATATTTCTTTAAATTTTTAAAATTTCAATTTTAAGTACTAGAAAGGATTTAGAAAGTAACAAGGAAAATTGGGGAAAACAGAAAACCATTATTAATTATCACTCCAAGTTTACCCATAACCTCCTTGAAAAAAGCCGTAAAAGAAGGGAACTGGAACGAACCCCGTTTATTCTTTGTTTAATTTGTTTAGAAACCCCTTTTTAAAATATTTAAACTAAAAATACCTTCCATTTCACTACAAATTGAATCCTTGTAACGAAAAAGTTCAATCTAAAAATAAATTTATTAATAAAGCTGTCAGCAAATATTTGCGGACAGAATTTTATGCAAATTTACAATAATGTTGGTAATTCAGTAATTGTTTTGGTAATTCCGTGGATTGTCGTTCCGTGACCTGCTTGTTCTGTGATTTGGAACAGACCGGTTAGCCCCCATCCAAGATAAATATGCTACATCTTGCTTATTTTTCAAATATTTTGTGTGAAGCCGGTCACGGAACGACAATCCACGGAATTACCAAAACACGGAATATTTAAAAATCAGAATACATTTTTAGAAATAAGAATTTTTCAGAATTTTTTTCAAATCTGTTTTTTAAAATATTCTAATTTTTTTAGAAAAGTCTTATTAAAAAATATTCCCATTTTTCAAAAAATTCCAATTTTTAAAATATTCCATTTTTGGTCATTCCAATATTACGGCTTTCTTAACAAGTTTATAATTAAATAGAACATTTAATTAGCGGAGTTTTCCGACTCTTTTAGGTTTATTATGAAAATAAATTTATCATATAGTGTAAACTACAATTCAGTTTTTCATTAATAAATTCCAAAAAGTTTAAAAAAATAAAATTCTGTCCACAAAAAAAATTAAAAAAACCTCAATTCCATTAATTTTTCCTTCCCAAATTTCTTCTTCTCCTTCTTTTTTAAAACAATTTAAACATTCAGGTATTTTCCCATTTCCATTTTGTATAATTAATTTGTCAATTCCAATTTTTAAGAAATTTTGTAAAAAATCCTCATTTAAAATAGTAAAAATTAATTTTTCGAATTGAGTACTTCCAACAGTCACAAAACACTTTGAAGACATTTTCTTCCTTAAAATTTAGAGGAATACCCAATTAATTCTTCGACTGGTTCGTATAGCCAATTATCTCTTCTTGTTATTAAAAGTTGGTTTTGAATAAATGCGAGGGCACGTTCGTGGGCTTCTTTAAAATTTAAAAAATTTATTGGAAATTTTTGAAGGGTTTTAAAGGTAAAAATTGATTTAAAAAATTAAATTGAGGTTGAAAATACTCAAAAATAGTTTTTAAAAATTTTCTAGTGTCTAATTATTAAATTTTGAAATAATATCCACGAGTGGGATTCGAACCCGAGACCTATCAAAAAAGAAAACCTAAATCTTTCCCACTACACCAAAGAACAATAAAATCACTTTGAGTTTAGAAATTGACTCTTTCAGTTAGTGAAAGGTTAAAAATAGGATTTTATCGATACTTGGAAAATCTTCGTCCCTAACAGAACCGAAAAACGGGATCGAAAAATTTTTCAGTTCGGTTTGATACGCATCGAAAAGTTTTTAGTCTCAGTCTTTCAGAATCGGTTTTCATCATTTGAACCCAATGCACCGCTGAGTTATAACTTCATTCAAAATTAGCGGCACGTTTTATCTTGCCAAAAGCTTGTCTTGCCAAACCCCTAAAAGCTGATGAATTGCCAAACCTCACCCATAAATAAAAGGTATGGGGCTATTTTAACACCCTTGATAATTCTTAAAAAACAAAAAACCTTTTTCACGCTTTGCAGAAAGTTTTTTCACAACAGCTTCGTCCTCTACTCCAGTCAGGTATTTACTTGCAATACCAGTAACTTCTAGAAAAAAAAACAAAAGAAAAAAATTGTCTAAAATAAAAAAACCTTTTTTTGATGATTTTGGTGTAGATGCTTCTTTAGATACCAAAGTTATCCAGTTACGTGCACTTCTTCTAGTAATTCTAACTCCGCTTGTTCCAGATGATGAATTATTGTTGTTATTATTGTTATTATTCATAAAAGTGATATCTAAATAAAATTTATGAAGAAGGTGCCTAAATTCTGGTTAAAAATCAGTTGAAAAAGTATGGAAAAAGAAATGGAAAAGATCGAAAGATCGTGTCACTCTAAAGTAGGGTTGTCGGTTTCAACCCGAACCGAACCGAAAAACCGAAAATTCTCGGTTCGGTTTCGGTTAACCAATGAATTTGGTGAAACCGACAACCCTACTCTAAAGAACTGGTTTTCAATAGACTCTAGCATCTCAATTGCGGCACCAAACAGGCTGTTCAAAAAAGAATTTTTGAGTCCTAAAAATCTCTGAGAATTTCTGAATTAGCACGGCAGACTCATTCGGTATGTTAGTGATAACGTAGCTAGAGAAAAATGGAAATCGATATTTATTTGTAAATTTTTTGCATTTATTTTTTTATTTATCTTGGCCTACATATTTCTATTTTTGATTAATTTTTATTTATAGGATATTTCTAAATTTTTAAAAATTATGGCTGATAATCATATTGTTGGAGGTTCCCCATCATCATCGGTTTCTAGTTCAGCACCTTCTATAGCGGAAAATGTCAACACTGTCTTTTTGGTCGGTGCGATGTCACTGCAGCAAGTAATCGATGGGATTTTTAACGACATGGAGTCACCTGTCATATCCGTAGGATTTTACTAATTACAATTTGATTTTAAAATTTAGTTGGATTCTGGATCCGATATAGGACATTTGTTAGAAGTATATAATCGTCATCTGCATCCTCCTGGACATGCTAGCCTGGGACTTCCTTTTGCTCAAGTTATTGCACAGCGTGAAGAGGAGGCACAACAACTTGCTATAAACCAAGCGCAAGATCTTGGCATGAGAGTAATTCCAGCAAGAGCTACAAGATTGGATAATGGACATTTTGAGTTGACGGTAAATTTTTCCAATTCTTATTCCACTTTCTTTCTAAGCTTTAACTTGACTTATTTTCAATCTCTGATTCTATATTATAGGACATCTGTGAAAAATGTGAGGATATATCACTGGTAGACTCTGAGTTTTGTCCTCACCATCAGAGTCAACACACACAACTGAGAACAACCGAATCACAACATTCAAATTGTGAGAGTGTTGGTAAAAATGTAGCAACAGAGCGTAAAACAAAAAAAGTTGTGCGTGTTGGCAGTAGGAGGCGGATGGGTGGTTGCCGAGTTAGATATAGTAAAGCGCTTAGGATTGGCAAAAAAATAGTTTTAACGGTGAATATATATTTTATACATTTTTTTGGCCTGTTTTAACTCATTTCTTTTAAAAATTCTATTTTTTTTAGGCTTTGTGTGAGAATGGACGTACGCGAGTTGTTGTAATTCTTTATTTTTAAGTTTTTTTGAATATTTTTTATTTAGTGGCAACCAGGGCCGGAACAAGCCTAAAGAGATTGAAGAAGTTTGTCAGCTGTGGCAATGACTCTTAATTTATTTGAAAATATTGTTTATTAAAATAATCTCTTTTAAATTTTTGCTCATTGAAAAATAAATATTTGACTATTTGATTTTAAATTTAAATTGTTTCTGTGCAAATTTTTTTACTTGTTTTTATTCTTTTCAGTTGTTTAATTGATTTTTTGTTTAGAAGAAAATTTAACGTTGAAAAATGTCTAAAGGTCCGCAACATTTCATTGATGAGGCTGCAAAAGCGGTTTTTTTATTTTTTTTTTCTAAATTCGGATACTCGTGTTATGTTTTTTAAACAGTTCTGGGTTTATAGCGAAATATTCTGATTCAGGCTTTCAACCCCCAAAGTGATTTTTCTTTTTCAGTTCCTAGGCATATATTTCCTGGGAGAAGAAGGGATTTATAATTTAATAAAACATTTTTAAAGAATGATGACGAAGACCCGTTTTCTGAGACCAGAAGAAAGAATATTGCCGAACGTCAAAGTCAATACCAAATGCGTGCACGAAAGCGACCAATTTCACCAGAGAGAGCTGATATGTTTGGTATTGAATTTCGAATTTATTTTATTGATTTTGTTAATTTTAGTTGATCAAACGCCTGATTTGCGTGACAGAACTTATGCCAAAATTATGCAAGAACAGTTGCTTACTGCCGAAAAGGTTTATTTTTTAACGTTCTTCTTGGTATAAAACGGGCCTGGACCGACGTTTTGTCCTGGACAGCCAGTACTAACGTTTTTTTCTATCGAAACGGGCCGGTAAACTCTCAGACCATGTGGACCTTTCTGACAACCCTAATCGTTCGGTCCGCATTTTCAGTTTTTTTGGCCCCTCGATTTTCGGCTTACTCCTTTGTTTTTGGCTTACTCCCTTCATAATCATTCGTGCTTCAATAATTTTCTCTAATTTTTAGGAAAAAATTGAAAAAGAATTGGTCGACAAGCATCAATCTGGCGAATTAAAAATTAACAGGCAAGCTAAAAGTTATGCTCCTGAAGATACTCCAACTGAAAATATTGAAAACACACCTTCACAGGCTCCAAGAAAGAAAAGAATTGCTTTGAGTGGACATGCTATAATTGCTGTAAGGGTCTTTTTTATTTTTAAAGTAGGGGAATTTTCAAAAAATTGATGAGACTGTCTGATGAGAAGAAGTTGAATCGAATTTCAAATCTGGTTTTCAAACTTTTTTTTGGATCGGGTTTCGTGCCAAAAAAGTTTGGATTTTGGTTAACCCTCACACAATCCCTGCTTTGTAGCGGCAAAAATCCAAGCCCGAATTTGTTAGAGGAAAAAATTTCTGAATTTTTCTTTTATGTAGATTGTAGTGAAACGTTTTAAGGTCCCAATTGGACATTTTTCACGCCTATCTACTTCCTTCTATTTAATTTTTCTCTTTTAATTTAAGGATAAAACGCCAAACGTTGCCCAATGGGATGAAACTCCAGCGCATATTTCTGCATTAGACTCAACTCCATCAACAGATAAACAATGGGATGCCACACCTTCACAAACACCTCGTCGCAATCGTTGGGATGAAACGCCAAAAGAATCTGTTCGAGATGGAGGAATGACCCCTGGATGGGGCTCGGAAACGCCTAGAGACATCAAAATGGACTTGAGTGAACGAGCAGAGGAAACCCCCGGCGCTTCAAAGAGACGTTCTCGCTGGGACCTTACTCCGTCACAAACACCGTCAGAAACTCCAATGGCCGGTATTGACGCAACTCCAACACATTTTACACCAAAAATCATGCAGAATGGGGGAATGACTCCTTCAATGCTAACTCCTGGAGGAACAACACCAATTGGAACCCCAGCAATGGGAATGAAAACACCGGCTGTTCCGTTCATTCCAATGACTCCAGAACAGGCGGCAATTTATAAATGGGAGAAGGAAGTAGATGATAGAAATCGTCCTCTGTCGGATGAAGAATTGGATGCTTTAATGCCGCCTGGTTTCAAAATTTTGGCACCTCCATCTGGTTTATTTTTTTAAATTTTATTTGGGTTTTGGATGTAGGGGTGGGTTTACTTTTTTATGTGTGGACAATCTGAGAAAATTTAATTAGTTTGGGCTAATTTTCGAGAATTTGGACCAATTTTCGGGAATTTCTGGGGAATTAAATTAAGGTTGGGATTTGGGTATTTCTTCACTAATTCGGAAGACAACCACTGTTTTGCCATTAACTACCCTTTTCATTGTGTTAGCCTTGTTAACTTTTGGCCTATTTTTAACCAAATTATTTCTTTTTTAAGGTTATGCCCCAATTCGAACACCGACAAGAAAATTATTGGCAACACCTACACCAATGTCTGGAATCGGCGGTTTCATGATCCCTCCAACACCAGAAAGAGGAGGTGCTGGGGCAGATAAAGGAGTTGGAGGAATAATAGATACTCAACCAAAAGATCCGGAATTGCCAGCACTCAAACCTGAAGATATTCAATATTTTGACAAACTTTTGCAGGATGTAGATGAAAGTCAATTAACAAAAGCAGAAAGAAATGAACGTGAAATAATGGGTTATTTATTAAAAATAAAGAATGGAATGCCTTCACAACGAAAATCTGGATTGAGGAAAATAACAGAAAATGCTCGCCGTTTGGGCGCTGGACCTTTATTTAATCAAATTTTGCCACTTTTAATGTCTCCAACACTTGAAGACCAAGAGAGACATTTAATGGTTAAAGTTATTGATAGAATTTTATACAAACTTGATGACTTGGTCCGACCTTATGTTCACAAAATTTTGGTGGTAATTGAACCGCTTTTGATTGATGAAGATTATTATGCTCGTGTTGAAGGTTTGGAAATTTATTTTTTTGGAGGGGTTTGATTTTTTTGGGGGTTTATCTTTCTACACGATAGAAAAGACGCTAGGAATGACAATAATACTCAAAAATTTTGGAGCATTAATGACAATTTTCTGACTATTAGGGTTGCCGTTTTCAAGTCGGGCCGACGTTTGAGTCATTTTTTTGGGCCTCATTTTTTCGGGCCGGCCCGACCGAGTCTTTTAGGCCAAAATTCGTTGCCCGACTATCTTTCGGACCGAACCGGGCCGGCAACCCTACTGACTATTTTCCAAAATTTTCGCATTTTCTTCAATTTTTCCAAAAAACAATAAAAAAATTTAAAAAAATTAACGTTTAGGCAGAGAAATAATTTCAAATTTGGCTAAAGCCGCTGGATTGGCAACAATGATCTCAACAATGCGTCCTGACATTGACAATGTAGATGAATATGTTAGGAACACAACAGCTCGTGCTTTTGCAGTTGTAGCCTCAGCTTTGGGAATACCTGCACTTTTACCTTTTTTGAAGGCTGTTTGTAAAAGCAAAAAGAGTTGGCAGGCTAGACATACAGGTTTGTGTTTGTATTCTAATTAATTGGGGGGAATTAAGAGAGGTGAAGGTTTACATCCGGGCAGGCGTCGATCCTGCGACCTTTTTTTCTAGGCTTACCAGATAAAGTGTTTTCACTCGCCACGTACAGATGCTCTACCGATTAGGGTTCAGGGCACTGCTTTCTCTTTTAATAGGGTAGTTTAAGCACTTAGCTAGCATTTTAGATGCTAGCCAGCTAGCTTTCTTCTTTTTTAGATGCCACAAGCTTAGGGGTTGAAAACGGTTTAACCTCACCCTTAAAATTCGGTAAATCTCATTTCAAGACACTTTTAACTTTTAATAAAGACACAATTTTAAGGTATTAAAATTGTCCAACAAATTGCAATCCTTATGGGTTGTGCAGTTCTTCCTCACCTCAAACAACTTGTTGAAATTGTAGAAGGTGGATTAGTGGATGATCAACAAAAGGTTAGAACAATTACTGCTCTCGGTATTGCTGCTTTGGCAGAGGCTGCTACTCCTTATGGAATTGAAGCTTTTGACTCTGTTTTGAAGCCGTTATGGAAAGGTTTTTAAAATTTTGCTAAAAATATTTGTGAGATGTCGTCCAGGACGGAAAATTATCTTTATGTTTTTGGGTTGATCATGTATATTTTTGGGCTTGACATAAAAAAAATTTTTTTTGGCTGTCATTGAACCTTTTCTAATTTTCCCTACCTCTTTTTTTTGGTTATTTCTAAACTTAATCCGAAAAAGACAGATTACATAGGATCACTGATCAGAAAATTCCTCATAAGATTAATTATGGGTTCCTCTTCAACCTGGCAGCTTTAGATGAGTGGAATCTTTCATAATCTCTTTCATATCTCTCATAATTTAAGGAATTCGTACACACAGAGGAAAAGGATTGGCTGCATTTCTCAAAGCTATTGGTTTTCTTATTCCGTTGATGGATGCTGAATATGCTAGTTATTACACAAAAGAAGTGATGCTTATATTAATTCGGGAATTTGTTTCTCCCGACGAAGAAATGAAAAAGATTGTTTTGAAGGTTTATTTAAATTTTTGTGTCTTAATTAGGGTAATTCACGAATAATTTTAAACCCCAAGTTTTTGTTATTTGGGAAAAAAATAACTGTTCGGAACGTCTTGTAATACCAAGAGCTTGAAAACCAAGAGCTCCACAGCTTGGTATTTCAAGCGTTTTTTGGGGCTTGGTATTTCAGGCTTTTTGGTATTACAATTTATTGTATTTCAAGATCATACCTAACTGGTTCATGAGCCGCTTGTTTCTGAACACGTGTGATTTTTTAAAATTTTTTCTTTAAAACTTAAAAATTTGTATATTTAAACTAAAAATGAAACCGAAATCGAGTTAACATTAAACTAGTGAGGGTTAATCGTAAACTGATGATACGATTCAATAAATCTATCGTGAACTACCTTGAATTAAATTTAATATTTTTGTCTTGATTTTTCATTTTAATTACTTTAAGGTAGTAAAACAATGTTGTTCCACAGATGGTGTAGAACCTCTTTATATTAGAGAAGAAATTTTGACTCCTTTCTTTAGAGCATTCTGGAATCATCGGATGGCTATGGATCGACGAAATTACAAACACTTGGTTGATACAACAGTTGAAATAGCTCAAAAGGTTTTCTTGATTTTTTCATATGAACTTCTTAATGCTGAAAATTGTCCTCTGTTAAATTTTGTGTGGTTAGTACGGAGCAGTTTCCAAATTTTATTTTCGAGGCTTTTCTTTTTCGATTTTGAAAATTTTAAATTATTTTTTTCCGATTTTGAAAATTTCTTGCGAAGCAGCTCTGGGGAGTTTATTTTTACGTTATCCACTTTCTGAACGATTTTTTAACATGCCTCTTGATTTTAATAAATTTTTAAAATTTCAGGTTGGTTCTGTTGAAATTGTTAGTAGAATTGTTGATGATTTAAAAGATGAAAATGAACAATACAGAAAAATGGTAATGGAAACAATTGAAAATATTATGGCTTTGATGGGTGCAGCAGAAATTGATTCTCGTTTAGAGGAACAATTAATTGATGGAATTTTGTATGCATTTCAAGAACAAACACAAGAGGTTTTTAAATATTTTTTTGAGATTAGAGAGTCTTTATTGACTCTTCCATCTTTATCGAACAAAGCATTACCTCCCCAGATTCTTTAGCTTTTACAAATTCGGAAAGGCCCATCCCTGCTACTTTTATGTTCATGGTAGCACTATGTCCCTGTTTGTGTAACAGTGATTTAATGAAACAGACAGTCTTTCAAGGGCGTAGTTAGGGGGTCGATTCCGGGAGGAGGGAGGCTAACATTGGGTGTGCGATATAATTTTGGCGCCCCCAGCCCCCTGGCTACACCCTTACAGTCTTTCCTGGATAGTGTGACTAATGGGACTAATCAGCGCCATGTCTATCTAACCGGCAATAGCTCTTTTTATTTCTTAGTTTCTTTAAAAAAAATTTTTTTCCAAATTTTCAGCCCCTTTGTTTGTTTATCAATTTCCTTTTCTAAATACTTTATTTTTTATAGGACCTTCCCAATTTACCAAAAACAATTTTCTATATTTTCTTTTTCAGGATCCAATAATGCTTGAAGGTTTCGGGACAGTATGTAAAGCTTTGGGACGTCGAACAAAACCATACCTCCCTCAAATTTGTGGAACTATATTGTGGCGTTTAAATAATAAATCTGCTAAAGTTCGTCAACAAGCTACTGATTTGGTTTAATTTTTTAAGAAAAAAATATTTTTTTTAATTAAAATTTTTTTAGATTGCAAAAATAGCCCCAGTAATGAATGTTTGTCAAGAAGAAAAATTAATGGGACATTTGGGAGTTGTTTTATACGAATATTTGGGTGAAGAATACCCTGAAGTACTTGGATCTATTTTGGGGGCATTAAGTGCTATTGTTTCAGTTATTGGAATGACTAAAATGACACCTCCTATAAAAGATTTATTACCTCGTCTTACACCAATTCTTAAAAATCGGTGAGAGTTTTTTTTCAAATGACATTAGGTCCCATTGGTTATTATTTAATTTGGAGACAAATCCATAGCTTTGGTCCCTCCTATTTCTTTCAATTTTTCAGCTAGTTTAGAAGGAATCAAGACATTTCTCCCAACAACTTTAGGTGTTGAAAATATTGTAGACTCCAGTATAATATAAGGGAGCTGAAAGTTACGAGGGTTTAAGATTTATAAGTACTAAATCAGAGTAACCGGCCTGGCAACTCCCTGGGCCCGTAGAATAAATTCGGGGTTAAGTTACCCGAGTAACTTTTCCCCCACAAAACGAAAAAAAGAGAAGAATCCTTGCGCCGAAGAACTTGAGAAGAAAAGAAAGAGGAAAAGGATACGGTAGAGGTCGAGGGTAAAATTGTTACACTGCTAAGGGGCAGTGTAGACATTTTATTTAAAAAATCCTTAAAATTTGAAATTTCATGCAAAAATTATAAATTAAATTTTTTTAGATAGTTTGGAATGTGCTCTATTTTTTGATATAAGTTTTAGAATTTTTTCTTTGGAAATTAATTTATGACAATTTTTAACAAAAAGGACCTCATTTTTAGCCATTTTTTAAGGAAAAAGTAGTACCTTGCTAGAAAATTCATAACTTTTAAAAAAATCGGTCAAAATTTTTAATTTTTTGGTATTCCATAGTTAACACTCCCATCTATAATTGACCAAAAAATAAAATTTTTAACTGCATTTTAAAAAAAGTTATGAATTTTTTCCTAAATAGGGAGAATAAGAAGCGGGTAGCGGCGCCAAACCCTTTGCCTAGGGTCAAGTCGGCGCTGCCGCTACCCGGGTAACCTTACCCTTGAATTTATTCTACGGACCCTGAGGTCTATTCCACAAAGTGACATTGCTTCAGCAACATTAGGCGATTGCTTGATTTCTCGATCGACATTTGAAGTTGATGTCGTTTCGTGGGGTTAATGTCACTCATGTGATGCATAGTAATAATTTCTACAGGGTAATAGGTTCGAATCCTGTTTGCTATAAAAAGAATTCATTACTATACAAATCAGGGATGGGACGAGTTACCAGAAACCCGGACTTTTTTTCGACCCAAAACCCGACCCGAGAAACTTTCAACTTTTTTCTCAGGTCCCATCCCTGATAAAAAATTCTTTAATTTATTTCAAAAATATTTTTTTCAGACATGAAAAAGTTCAAGAATTTTGTATTGAATTAGTTGGTAAAATAGCTGATCGCGGCTCAGAATTTGTTTCTGCACGTGAATGGATGCGTATATGTTTTGAATTGTTAGAATTACTTAAAGCCCACAAAAAATCAATTCGGCGGGCAGCAATAAATACTTTTGGGTATATTGCTAAAGCTATTGGTCCCCACGATGTTTTGGCAACTTTATTGAATAATTTAAAAGTACAAGAACGTCAACTTCGTGTTTGTACAACTGTGGCTATTGCTATTGTGGCAGAAACTTGTGCACCTTTTACTGTTCTTCCTGCGATAATGAATGAATATCGAGTACCAGGTTTTGTATTTTTTAAATTTTTTAAATTACATTTGGGAAGATTTGGGGAACCTTTATGTGTGTAGGATAAATTTTGGGTTTTTCTGATAAATTTTGGGTTTCAACCATAAATAAGAAACCTCTAAACTGTCTCTAGTTGGGGATTGTCAATTTCACTTGATTCTCCGATCGAAATGATATTTGAAGCCCAGTGTATCTCGAGAACTTTGAGTAGAGGCAAATAGGTTTGTTCAGGACCGATTAATTTTTGCCTGTAGCTGCTCAAATGAATAATAAGAGCATTTGAGTTGCTACTGCCACAAATTAATTGATCTTGAACAACTTTAGTTGTTAGAAATTTGATTATTTACATTGAATTCTTGATTTAGGCAAAAATTAACTGATCTTGAACAACTTTAGTTGTTAGAAATCTAAAATTCACATTGTGTTCATGACTAATCTTTGGTCTAGAACCTTCAGTAATGGAGGTTAAAAAATGGCTTGTTACTTTTTTGTGTAATCCTTCCCCCATAATTTTCCAAATTAATTTTTTCATTAAAACTTTTAATTTCAGAAATTAATGTTCAAAATGGTGTATTAAAAGCTTTCTCATTTATGTTTGAATATATTGGTGAAATGGCTAAGGATTATATTTACGCAGTTACTCCTTTACTTGTTGATGCTATGATGGAAAGGTTTTTAAATTTAATTTTTGGAAGATGATTATTTTGATTGGGATTTAGGAACGGGATCATGGGAGAATCACTCAATTCTGCCCTCTACCAATTACATAGAAATAACTAGTCGAATGATTTTTGATTTGAAAAAAAGATAAATTTTGGGGGCGGAAATTAGGAGGAAAATCAGTCATAAAAGTCTCACTTTTGGCTAGTTTATGGGTCAAATGAAAAATAATGAATCTAACCAATATTTCGGGCGTTTTGTCGTTCGCTCATAAATTTTGGTATGCAAAAGTCCACCAAATCCCAGTCCTATGAAAAATAAATCTCTGGGCACAGGAAAAGCCCCTCACGCCTTCCCTCATACCCAAAATTAATCCTAATTATTTTTTTACTTTAAAGGGACGTAGTTCACCGACAAATAGCCATTGATGCTTGTGCACATTTAATTCTCGGAGTGCATGGATTTGGTTGTGAAGATGCATTAATACATTTATTCAATTTTATTTGGCCAAATATGCTAGAAAATTCTCCTCATGTTATTCAACGTTTTGTTTTTGCATGTGATGCTTTGCGTGTTTCGCTTGGACCAATTAAAGTTTTGCAATATTGTTTACAGGCTTTATGGCATCCAGCGAGAAAAGTTCGAGAACCGACTTGGAAGGTTCTTTTATTTTTAAACTGTCCGCAAAATTTTTTTGCGGATAATCCGCAAATTTTTTGCGGACAAAATTTTTATCCGCAATTTTTTAACAAATTTTATTTTTAAGGTCTTCAACAATTTAATTCTTGGATCTCAAGATGCAGTTGTTGCTGGATATCCCCGAATTCAAAATACAGACAGAAACCTTTATACCCGTTATGAACTTGATTATATCCTTTGATGGCACACATTTTTCACAAACATTGTATTTTTTATTTTTTAGAGAATTGGGGATTGGACTTGAAAATAATTGATTTGGATAAAAAAATAATTGTCCGCAAGTTTTATCCGCAAATATCGGTTCAATCTTTTGGGTGTCCACGCCGACTAAATTTCACCAGGCTAAAATGGGGGGAATTTTAAGACCCTTAAGGCTGCCACAAGCGAAAATTAACCGGTCGTGAACAAACCTAGATTGAAGCAGGATTTTCGGACAAAACCCCCTCTAGTTCAGTCCAGGGTTGCCGCCCGAAACCTATACCCGAAATTTTTGCAACCCGAAATAAAAACGCTCCAACCCGATGCCCGTACCCGAAGATTTTTGTACCCGCGGCAACACTGGTACAGTCCAATCCTTAATTTTTAGAATGAAAAATAAAAGTTGGCCAATTAAATATACCTATTTGTTTTTATTGGATAAAATGTCCTAATAAAATTTAAAAAAAATTTTTTCTTCAAATTTTAAAATCTAAACGAATTAATCAAATCATTAGAATTCATAAAATCTGTAGTACAACAAAATATTTTAAAAGGTAAAGAATTTAAAATAGACATTTCTGCTCTAGTTATCCCTCCAATAACAAAAATTAATGTTTGTTTATTTTCTTCTGAAAAAGAATCTTTTTGTTGGAAATTTTGGTTGTTTTCTGTTGTTGTTTCCATTAAAGTTTTGTTAAAATCTATCCATTCTTTTTGTAATCCTTCTTCTATTATTCTAATTAAGAGGGATGGCTTGCCTATCTTGACTTCTGTTTTTCTCTAGAAATTTTTTTAGAAATGGTTAGAATTTAAGCACAACTTCATTTTTCGGGGTCTTTTCGTCTAAAGGGAATTTAAAGGAATTAGAAATTTAAAATTCTAAAGGAATTCTAAATTCTTTCCTTTTCGTTTTTAATTGGACATTTTGCAATTTTATTAACTTATGGACGTTTTGATATATTATGATTTTGCCATTTTAACCTAGGATTGGTGGATCGTCGGAAAAATCGGATATACGGAACAGGACCGAAATTTTCATTAACTCAGGGAAGTTGTCTAGTGACGGATAAGGTCTTGGGAATAATTTACGGCAATTTTATCATCGTCTTCCAGTAATGAGTATCCAAATAAAATTAAAAAAAATTTACCAAATCATCCAAATCAGCCAACGCAAATTTATATTTTCTAATTAATTGATTAAAATTGCCAGGAGTGTAAGAAACGTCCCATCTCTTTTCACAAAAATTTTCATCTTTTACTAAACCAGCAAGTTGTAATTTTAATAACAATTTTAATTCTGATATTCCATAACTCTGAAAAAAGGGGAAATATTTTTTAAAAATAGGTTGTTGTCAATCTTGATTTCTGTTTTTCTCTAAAAATTTTAAAAATAAAAAACATGACATTTTAATCCATGAAAGAACCAAAAAGACGTTTTTTGCGGATTTTATAAATTTGCGGACAAAACTTGCGGATTTTCTAAATTTAAGGGAAAAATTCAGGACATTTGTGGAACCTCTAAAATTAATATAATCGGGTTCAGTCTTTATCCAAAGAAAATTTCAAAAAAATATTTACCTGAACGATCAGCTTTGTATAAGTCTGAAGAACAGAAGATTTCAACCCATTTGAAATTAATGACTGTAAAATTATTAAACGCAAAATCGAATTGATTTCTCTCATTTCAATAAGTGAATTTTCAATAAATGGATGGGTTTTATCATGTTGTGGATTACGCATAATTTCTTTAAAAAATGTTTTTTTAATTTCTGAAGGAAAGGGATAAATTTTTGTAGAAATGGTTTTTTAGTTAAGTGGGAAAATTTTGTGTTTGTAAATGACAGAGGCCAAGGTTCGAACCCTGACAGTGGAAACCAATTTTTTAGAAAAGGAAACTATTTAAACTTGCTTCAACGAATAAAAACAGTTACAAATTAAAAAGGTAAGGTGACATTTAATCCCAAAAGAGAATCACAAAAAATTCTCTCAAAAATTTCCTACACTTTTAGTTAAGTGGGATAGAATTCCTTAAAAATAAAAAAACCTTGTTCACACCGCAATAATCCTCTATAAAAATCATCAGATTCTCGCTGTTGCACTACTCCTGCAAGTCGCATAAATATTCCCGTTGATTTACGCTTAACAACAACATTGGGCAATTTTGCTATGAAATTTTTGTATTGGGCAACAGAATCGAGAGATTTTCTTTGCTAAAAATTTAAAAATTTTCCCGTCCTTATTTTTAAAAAATAAACCAATTCTTCCCCTTTCAATTCATCAACAATTTCTCTTAATTTTAAAGCAACTCCACCAACAGACAAATCTTGTAATTGTTCGTAAACTTGATCGTTTAATTGAATTTCTTCAAATTCTTCCTTCTTTGACTTGTCAGGTTTATCATCAGAGGATTCTTCTGCAGGGATTTTTATTATTCCTGAAAATAAAAAAAAATCTTTTTTACACCATTTTTCTTCATTTCCCAGGTAATTACTAGTTAGAGGAATCGAACCCTCCACCACACAATGAAGTCTAAAGCGCTAACCACTACACCACCAAGTAACTAGCCTTCGAATTATTAACTAAAGCCTTAATTTAAATTAAAAACCTCTCGAATCAATTCCAAACAACTCATCACAAACTCCACCAAAAGTAGATTGTCTCAACATAGGAGTAAGTGGATCAATCCATCTATCAATTAGAACAACATCAGAAATATTTCGAAATTCGTTTTTGGTGGAGTCTAAGGCTTTCTTTGGTGTCTATAAAATTAAATTTAAGTGCAACTTTCGCTTTAGTGGATTTTCGACTATGATTTCTTAACCAAAAATTATAAAAAAAAGTTTCCGTCAAAAAAAAAAGAAAAATTGGTAACGGGATGCGAGGCCGAATGAGCGTCTCTCCTACTATAACCCCTGAAATCCCACCCTCGAATGCCTTTAACGTACTTCCCTTTTTCTTAAAAATGTTATGAAACCCAACCGCTTGTACTCAAGGAAAAGCAAAAATGGATAATTTTAGAGAAGAAACAAGAGGGAAAAACAAAGAAAATTTACATGGAAAATCCCTCATCTAATTACAATAAAAAAATTTTAAAATTTTTCATGACTACTTTTCAAAAAAATTCAGAATATGACACGTCCAAGTAGGCGCGCGGCCATAACGGCACAAAGCCATAACTTGCTGGAAAATTTTTGGCCCTTATCAATTTTGATACCAACCTCTTTAGCTCGTTGAGAGGAATCGTTTAATACTAAATTTGGTAAGATTCGAAAATCTTGAAACAAGTTATGACTTTACGCCGTTATGGTCGCGCGCCTACCTGGGCTGTACCCTACTCAAATAATTTAAATAAACCTCCTTACACTTTCAATTTGTTTCTTCATAATTTCCAAAATTCTCAACGACCATTTCCCCTTCGAATAAAAATTAGGCAAACGATTAAATTGATCAACCAATTGTTTCAAAGCTTTTGCACATTGAAAAAGAAAATTCCAATCTCCATTGATAAATAATTGTGGAGGTAATTGGGGTAAATCCATTGAAATTAATGAAGATTGTTCTGAAGGGAACCAATTGACTGGAAGGCTTTTAATTGTACAAATTTTATCCCAAACTGATTTATCGTCTTTTAAGCGTTCTGTGAGAGTGTAGGTCTTTTCTGGAATGAAAAATAGATGGACAGAGCATTGACACTGAAAAATGAAAATAAGAAGAGTTAGAAGATTCCTAGGAAAGTGAAAAACACAGGGAAGTTAAAAGGTTTATCTATACAATACTTCCTGGCCATCTATACAATACTTCCCGGCCATCAGGTCCCCATTTATTCGCGAATAAACCAAAACAGACCCATTTTTCCTTTCCTATCAGTTATTCAGTCCGCATCTACATACGAATAAACAGGGGACAGATCTGTGACAAGAGGGGCAGGAAGGGTAGGAAGGTGATAAGGACTCCTGAAATCGACCCTCTTGGTTACGCCCTTGACAAATACACACAAAAATTAACAAAAAACACCATTCAACTAACCCTATCATCCAATTTTCTTAACCAACTTTTGACCAATTCAATAGATGTTTGAGTTGCATAAAGAAGAAATACAAGGTTTGCAGCGTTGGAATATCCAGGATTATTTAAAGAATAATTCTTTCCAACATTTAAATTTTGTGACAACAAGTTGGGGGTTACAATCTTTAAATTAAAAAAAAATTTTTTTAATTCAAGAATCTTTGCTTTGTTTTCAGGTTAGGGTTGTCGGTTTCAGTCAATTTTTCGGTTAACCGAAATCTAAAATAAATAGTCAGGAGAGTCTTAAACTGATTTTAAAAAGCGAAAGATGGAAACGAGAGTCAATTTTAAAAGGCGAAATTTGGCAAAAGACGAAACTGGCACACCCCTGACAACCAGATTAAACCTTTTTAATTTTGTTGACATTCAACTCCTCCCAATACTCTTATCATTAGGCTAAATCATAAAAAAGTTGTTTTCTTATCAGACAAACATGCAGTAAAATAACAATTTTGGAAAGTCCGCATGTTAAAGTATAAAGGAGATCCGGGCTACAAAATGTCATACAATAGAAATAAAATATTCTACTATATTATTTTTTACTATATTACTATAAAATAGTTACTATAACTATATATTACTATAAAATATTTCACTATATACTATATTATTTTACTATATGTTCGCCCAATAAAAATCACAACTTTTTATGACCCGATCTAATATTTAATGCCAAAACCAAAAAGATCTCCTGTTAAGCTCTGAATACAAAAATACTGTGAGATATCGTCTTTCAAAAAGTGGAGTCTTTAAAAAATTAATAATAAAAAAACCAAATTCAGCAGCCTCATCATCTTTTTTCCATCCCAAACCAAATCAATCGTTCCTTCAAAAGACGAAAATGCATCCAAGAACACTCTTTGAGTAAAATGTTTTGTAAAGTCAGAAAATTTCATTTTTCTATTTTCTAAAAAAATCAAAAAATAACAAAATAAAATTTTAAAAAAATAAAAAAAGACCAAAAATAATCTTTAAATAAGCCAAAAAATTAAAAAGAAAAACAAAATTTATAACAAAACAAAAAACAATTAAATAAAACAAAACAAAAATAAAAACCCGTGTCAATAAATATCAAATCAATTTTCGTTTCTTTTTTGTTGTTGAACATTTTTTGTTGGAGGTCGTTTTTGCTGGAGAAATAAGGGTCGAGGAAATACAGCACTGAAAAAATAAGAAAATTTAAAAAAAATTTTCAAATTTTTTGGCTTGTTAGACTTTAAAACAGTTAAAAACCAAAAAATTTTAATTTACAATGCGAATGTGGCATTTATAAAGACTGAGGTATTTTATGAACTTTTATGAGCCCAAAAATACCAAATTAATAGCAAAAGGACATGTATCACCCCCAGACTTTACAAATGCCAAGAAGCCTAAAAATAGTAAATCCCAAAAAATAGGAACAAGGAAAAACAAAAAAATACGAGAATAGAGGAACGTAAAATAACAACACAAAAGGGAATTAAACCCCAAAAAATAAATCTATAATAAGGAAACCTCACGAACTGTAAGTCAAAATTTTGGACTTTTTTTATACAAATCGATAGAGCATCATCGATTTACTATGCAGATTTCCGGCTTTTCTAAAAAATTCAGAAAAAAACAAACTTGCAAATTTTGCAGAAAGGAACATAATTACAAGTAACAGACAAACAAACAGAGCACACCCATCCAATACTCAAAAGTTTATTATGACAGTGACAAACAGCTCTGTAATCAATGTTTTGTTGTGGGTGGGTAAATAGAGAAGTCTTGGAGGAAATTAGGCATTCACTCTGAAATTTATCTTATTCATATGAAATTAGATTAGCGTGAAAAATAAACGAAAAATAAAAATATAAGGTCTTAAACAATTAATTGATTGAGCCAGAGACGTATCTAGGCGCACCCCAAAATTCAGAAATGTGTGCCAAAAAAAGTTGGTGCACTTCTATAACACCTCCTAAAATTCTATAACACCTCCTGAATCCGATTCTGGTTAAACATTGGACGGAGTACTAGGGACTTAAGTAGGAAAATTGAAAAGTTTCTACCAAAAAGTAACAGGAAAAGTTGGTACTTATTTACTCCCCACGTCAATTTTTCCGGTAAATATGTAAAAGATGATCAGTCTGTCATAAGCTAAATGTAAATCTATGACTGACTTCTATAACCTATGACTGACTGAACCATTTTTTGCATATTTACTGAAAAAATTGACCGGAGGGAGGAGTAAATAGGTACCGAAAAGTCCTCCTTCCCCATTCTTTAAAAATACCCAAAATAAAAAAAACAAACCAAAACAGTCTGTGCAAGCAAATTAATATTGTCTAAAACCACATTAGTTCCCCCAGTTATATCACTAGCTTGTTGAAGAATTGGAACATTTCCATTCAAAGAAACAGAATTTACAACAAGAGAAGAATGTTTTGCAGCAAAAAATAAATTCATTAAAGTACTGTGTTCATTTGAAAGATTTTGGGCCAAATTAACAATTATAATTGAACCAGAAGAATTGGGATATTGTTTAGAATATTTATTGAAAGCTGAAAACTGAATAAATAAAATATATGAATTTTTAGTAAAACCCAAGGGAAAATAAATAGGGAGCGAAAAACAAAAAAAAATCTGTACGCAAAAAAATTTTTTGTCCGCAAAAAATTTTGCGGACAGAAAAGTGTGAGCAAAACGTATAGACTTACTACTACAGAACTACTACCAAGCCCAAACCTATATACCCTCTGGCCACATTTTTCAAATCAAAAATACCTACCACAAATGCTAAGCGAAATAGCTCCAGAATATTGAGAAGATGCCGGCTCCTCATAATTCACATTTTCTTCCAATTTTTTTCTTAAAAAAATTTCAAGTGATTTTGCAAAATCCAAAGCTGTTTTATTCGTTTCAACTTCCTGAAATTTTTTGTTTGCCAATTTTGCCCCACCGGCTAATACAAGTAGTTTGTTATTTGTTGATAAAAATAGATGAGTATTACATAAAGCTATTACAGCAGAGAAAATATCTTCTAGAACGTTTGTTTCTGGATATTTTGAGATCAACATACCCCAATTTGTTGAGTCACAATCAACTATCACACTTGTGTAGCTGCTCATAATACAACTGGAAAAGGAAAAATTAAAGACGAACACTAAAGGACAACCATACAAAAGTTAAAATAATCACTATATGGCGTTTTAAAAAGTTACCATTTTGAAATTATTAATTAAGAAATAAAAAATACATAATGCCAAAAAGTTTTTATTCAAAAACTTTATTATCAGGTAACCCCAAATCGGCGCGAGGCCATAAAGGCGCAAAGCCATAACTTGCTTCAAGATTTCCGAATCTTACCAAATTTAGTATTAAACGATTCCTCTAATCGAGATAAAGAGATTGGTACCAAAATTGATGAGAGCCAGAAAGTTTCCAGCAAGTTATGGCTCTGCGCCGTTATGGCCGCGCGCCGTTTTGGGCGTGTCCCTCATTATCTCGCTCTTTTTCCTTTATCAGAAAAGAGTAAGAACAAAAAAGAAGAGTGTTAGTAAGAGAAACAAAAAGCTCAAAGAGAATCGTGTCCGGACAAAATATCGAATCGTTAAAATATGGAATAGGCTAAAAAAGGGTTAAAATCTCGAATCGGGTAAAAATGGGTTAAAATCGCGAATAGGCTAAAAAGGGGTCAAAATGTGGAATCGTTAAAATATGGAATGGTTAAAATCGCGAATAGGCTAAAAAGGGGTTAAAATACCGAATCGTTAAAATATCGAATTGATAAAATGTCGACACGGCCAAAATGGGTCAAAATGTCGAATTTTTTTTAAAAATGGCGCCAAAACCTAAAATCCGGGCGTTACCGTAATACCGACGGTATTTTTCGGTATTCCGTGTCGGTAGTACGGTACGGAATGCCGACCGATAAAATTTAAAAGCTGATCGGTATTTTTCGGTATTCCGTACCGTATACGGTAAGGTACAAAATTTAGGTCTTAACTAAAAACTAGTGACGCCACTCTAATTTTCCGTATCAGGATCCTGTTGTGTTTTCCGGATCCGTACGATCATGCCGGACCGGATCCGGTCGATTATGCTTGATTTATACGGTCCGATTTTACTCACAGTGAACTCAGGCAGAAAAGATTACGCCGGACTATGACATACGAGACTTATCATCAAATTATCAAAAATAAGTTGATAAGTTGATAAAATTATCAACAATCAGTGTATGGCACTCATCTGACCCTTTTTTAAAAGAATTCGACATTTTGACCCATTTTGGCCGTGTCGACATTTTAACCATTCCATATTTTAACGATTCCATATTTTAACCCTTTTTTACCCAATTCGATATTTTAACCATTCCATATTTTAACGATTCGGTATTTTAACCCCTTTTTAGCCTATTCGCGATTTTAACCATTCCATATTTTAACGATTCCATATTTTGTACCGGAGCCAAGAGAATGAGAAAATAGAGATAAACACTTAAAAATACTAAACGCGAAACAGTGTAAATCCGTGCCCGCTCAACTCATCTAATCCTTAACTCATCCACGCGCCCAAAAACGCTCAACTCATCTAAACGGCTAAAATTCCTTAACTCATCCACACGGCCAAAAACGCTCAACTCATCCAATCCTCAACTCATCTAATGCTTAACTCATCCACACGCCCAAAAACGCTCAACTCACCCAATCCTCAACTCATCTAATGCTTAACTCATCTACACGGCCAAAAACGCTCAACTCATTCAATCCTTTGGAACGAGACTATTGAGTACCAGTCGTTTGAGTTTCCGGCCGTTTGAGTCTCTGGCCGTTTGAGTCTCCGGCCGTTTGAGTCTCTGGCCGTTTGAGTCTCCGGCCGTTTGAGTCTCTGGCCGTTTGAGTCTCTGGCCGTTTGAGTCTCTGGTAAGTAGAGTCCATGACCAGTTGAGTCCATGGCCAGTTGAGTCCATGGCCAGTTGAGTCCATGGCCAGTTGAGTCCATGGCTAGTTGAGTCCATGACCAGTTGAGTCCATGACCAGTTGAGTCTCTAGCCGGTTAAGTCCCTGGTCAGTTGAGTCCCGGCCGTTTGAGTGGTTGATTACCGCCGGTTGAGTCTTGGGCCGGTTGAGACTCAACTGACCAGGGACTCAACCGGCTAGGGACTCAACCGGCCGATATTTCAAGTATTGGATGAGTTGAGCGTTTTTGGGCGTGTGGATGAGTTAAGCATTAGATGAGTTGAGGATTGGATGAGTTGAGCGTTTTTGGGCGTGTGGATGAGTTAAGCATTAGATGAGTTGAGGATTGGATGAGTTGAGCGTTTTTGGCCGTGTGGATGAGTTAAGTGTTAGATGAGTTAAGGATTGGATGAGTTGTAGGGTAGCCTGTAAATCTCTTTCACTCTTCCCCCCAAATTTCTAACGATTTATTTTAAGCACGCGGTTTCCTTAAATAATTCATGTGTAAATGCTTTTTTGTTTGTGTTGTGACTAAAAGCAAACTGGAATTTTAGTGATATTCACAAAATAAGTGAAAATTTTATTTTACTATGCAAAGTTCTACAAGCTCTAACGAAGTTGGTATTTTCTTCTCTTTTTATTGATTTGATCACAAAATTCCTTTTCTTTTTTCAGTTAATTTACGGAGGAGCCAGTTCCGCTTATGGTTCAGAAGAAGCCTCTCACGTTATGTCAGACAAAGTTCAAGCAATTGCTTCAGCGGTTTACAAAGAATTTGAATCGATGATTCAAAAATTTGGACAGGAGAGTGTTAAGGTTTGGTTATAATTTATTTACTTTTTTTTTGTTAAAAGATCATTTTTTCCCATAAATGTTTGGGGTTGGTGAGTGAATCCGTTAAGGGCGTAGCCAGCGGGTCGATCTCGAGTTGCAGTGGAGCTAACATTTTGGTGTTTACCTTGGCGCTCAGGACGCAAGCCTTCCCTCTAGATACGCCCTTGGAATCCGTATTAAATTTCACTTGGATGCGGTCCCTGTAGTACGAGGCAGGTACCCCCAGCTACTTGCCTGGTAGGAGTCCTTGACCGCCAACACATGTGAAAGTTTTTAAAGGGTTACGGCGTAACGTGTTCATCTCTTTAGGTCATCCCCCTTTTGGCAATCCCGGAGAATTGGGGTTTCTTCGAAAAAAAAGTTTAAAAATAAGAAAAAGTATTTTTCTAGGGTAAAAAAGTATGCTGATTACGAATCTGAGCTCGGATTTTGAAAAAGTCGAATCCCGGACCCGAATTCGGAATTTGACCCCGGATATTGTCGGACATAGTACAAAATGGTCAGTCTTTCATATGGAGATAGAACTCATCGAGATGCATCGAATGACACCGAAATCGATGAAATCCGACGTGGTTAGACCGAAATACAGACCCCGGAATATTGAAAAACCATAGGGGTGACTTTTTGGAGTAAAAAAAAGTTTATGCATATGATACCTCATTCGAAAGAGCTCGTCGAGCTGAGTCGAATGACACCAAAATTACAGTTATCCATCAAGTTTTGACAAAGTTATGACATAAGTCGCCAACTCATACAGTACTCCGATAGGTCTACTTTATGTCATAACTTTGTCAAAACAGGTCCAATCACGTTGATTTTGGTATCATTCGATGCAGCTCGATGAGCTCTTTCGAACGAGCTATCATTTGCATGTTCAAAATCCGGGTTCGGGGTTCGAAATTTGGTTCGGGTTCGGGATTCGACTTTTTCAAAATCTGAGCTCGGATTCGTAATCAGCATATTTTTTTAGTTTAGAAAAACCCTTTTTCTTATTTTTAAAATTTTTATTCGAAGAAACCCCAATTCTCCGGGATTGCCCCCCTTTTGACCAAAAAAAATTTCAGAGTATTCTTTAGACTTTTTAATATTTTCGAGCACACCTCAGCGGCTAATTTTTATGATAGCTATCAAAAATTGTCTTTAATGCTTGTCTAATTTACTTATTTTTAAGGATTTAATGCCATTAGTCGTTAACGTTCTCGAAAATTTGGATTCTGCTTTTTTGGAGAAAGACGAACTTGCTGTGGACAATGAAATGTTAAAAGAAGAAAATGAACAATTATTGAACCAATATGAAAGGGAAAGGCAAATGAGAAAGAATCAGGACCAGGTTTTTTTGTTTTTAAAAATTTTTTGAAAAATTTTTTCTAAAGAAATATTTGGAAGTGGAAGAATCACTTTTGGAGCAGAATCGTGAACTTGAAAATAAAGTTGGTAGTATGGCTAGTATTGTTAGAATGTTGGAATTGAAGACAAAAAATGCTTGTGATCACGGTAAATGTTTTTGTTTTTAGTGCCATAGACACGGGAATTCCTGAGAGGTTTTAATTAATATTTTCACTTTTTTTTATTATTCCCCTTCCAAATTTTTTCCTTTTCTCCTTGGTACGTGCCTGGTTTTGGGACCGAGAATGATCCCCCTCTGGCCCCCGAAAAAATCCTGGTTACGGGCCTTTTTGGGCGTGTCTTACTTGAAATCCTATGCCTTTTGCCAATTTCCTATCAACTTCCAGGGTTTTCTCTTCTCTCTTATATTTTAATTTTTTGTCCTTTAAATAATTTTATTTTAGACATTGCTCTCTTTTTTTGTCTTTTCCTTTCTTAACCGATTCTTTTTATTTAGCCAGCCGTCTAGAGGAGCGCGAAGCGGATCAAAAAATGGAATATGACAAACTACATGAGCGTTATAATGAACTCTTACGTACTCACATTGATCATGTTGAACGTACAAAGTTTTTAATGGGAACAGAAATGTTTGATATGGCTAATTCCTTACCTGTTGCTTCCAAAAATAACAAGTTTTTTTTAGTTTCGATTATTAGGTGATCCTTTTGATTATGAGAATATTTTTCACTAAAATAAGACTATACTAGAAAAATTAAAAAAATTTTAATTGGGAAAGACTATTCCTAGCCCACATGGAAATCTCTGGAATTACTGGGGCAGCAAATTTTTTCCCATTCCCCCTCCCTCCCATCTAAAGACCTTTTGATTTCAAAAATGAATTTCCCCTTTTCTTATCCTTTTTTACACTGTTACAATTCCACTTAATATTTGAACCCAAAATTTTTAATTTTTGTGACATTTTCCCTCTAAAAATTTTTTTTAGAAATTCAATGGCAATGAGTGCAATTGATTCTAACGTTAGAGGAATAAGTGATATTATAAGTGCTGTTCATATGTCTCAAAGTACTCATGCAGATTTAAATTTGGCTAGTCACATTAATAGCAATGAAAGTTTGTTTGCCTTTAAAGATGATTAGAAAAATGATTTTTTAAAGGAGATTGGCACGAAGAATTTGGAGGTTTACAAACAGCAGCAGAAATTTTGGCAACTCCCAGAGAAGAAAAACCGGCAAATTCCCCTCTTCCTTCAGTTGTTGAATCACCTAAAGAAGTTGTTACTTCGGAAGATGTGGATGAGGAGGAGGATGATGAACAGAAAGTGCCGGAAAGGTTTTTGTTTGAATTTTATAAAGGGAGGTGATTAATGGGAGTGGATACAACCTGAACTATTCTGCTTAGGGGTCATTAATTATCTTTACGTTGGTAAAGTCTGGTCACCTTTGATATGATTTCGTCAGGTTGCGTTGGGTTGTTCTAAATACTTGTGGCAGACTGGGCCCTTCGTAGCTGACCATTTCTTTGTTTGTTACAGAGGTAGAACGGAGTGAGTATCCGGAATTAATCAAAATTTGGTACTTGACTTCCTAAATACCTCTGCTTTGGAGGGAATTGTTAGATTTGTTCAAACTTTTGTTTACTTGTAGGTAGGGTTGGCGGTTCTGGACCGAACCGGAGAACCATTGATTTTTCGGTTCGGATCTTCGGTTCGATTTCGGATATCCTTTTTTCAAGAACCGACAACCCTGCTTGTAGGATTCTTACAATTTGCCAAGTTCTGATTTTTTTTAATTCAGAGAAATGAATGATGATGGCGATGGAATATCTCTTGGTGCTGATTTGACAGGTTTTTTATATTAAAAAAAAATTTTTTTAATTTGAACTAATTTTTAAAAAAATTTTCAACAAAATTAGGGAATCTAGTTGACCCTGCAGAATTTGCTTCAGCTGGTATATAATAAAAAATAGCTTCTAGAAAAAATGAATTTTTTAGTTAACGATACTTTTATTGGTTGGTTTAGAAAATTAAGTGTAGCTTAGTAGTGGTTTTTGTTGTTTTTTTTTAATTTTTTGTTTTTGTGGTTGGTCCTTTCCTTTTTTCCTCCTTGCCGTTATTTTTTAGAGAATGTTTTGTGATTTGTTTAAAGTAAATAAGATCCGAATTTTTAGTCAAAAATTATAAATACTCGTAATTTTATTCCTTTTTGTCTTTCTACCTGTAGCAAGGACGTAGCCATGTGAGGGGACTTTTGGGGCTATATCCCCCTTACCCTCTAGTACTATAAGTAACAAGCGCGAGAGGAATTCAGCTCTGGATTTGTCGGATCTCAGCTTTTGCATTTTCTAATTTTTTTATGGGAAAGAAATTTTGCTCGATTGATTTAGCAGTTATTTCAAAATCGATTTTGCCGACTGCTAATTAAGTCCTCGCGCCCCTCCTTTCGGATCACATGCCACGAGTTTGGATATTTTGTCATTTTCTTTGTTTTACTTTTTTATTTTTAAAATTTTACGTAAAAACTCAAAATTCGGATCTTTAAAAAACAATTTTCGACATAAAAATATTTAATTTTCAGGAATGGGCAGAGAAGTTGAAAATCTTATTCGTGAAAACACTGAATTGCTTGAAACTAAAAATGCTTTAAATATTGTAAAGAATGATTTGATTGCAAGATTGGATCAACTTAGCAGGTTTTTTTAATTTTCTCATTAAATTTTTTAATTTTTCCCTTTATTTTTTAAGTGAACACGCAGTCTATAGAGAAGAAGCACGAAGTCTTGAACTAGTCAAAATAAAATTAATTGAACGCATTAGAGGATTGGAGGATGAATTGAAAGAATTAAAAGAAGCAAAAAATCAAACAGAAACGCCAGAGGTTTTTTTAAAAATTTTTCTTAAAAAATTATTTTTAAAGGAAGACAAAGCCCAAGGGCGGCGATTTACTCGTCTCGAAATGGCTAGAGTTTTGATGGAAAGAAATCAATACAAAGAAAATTTCTTTGAACTTCAAGAAGCTGTTAAATTTACAGAATTGCAAAGAGCGAGACGGACTACGTCTTCGAATAATCAAAATAAATCAATTATTTGGAGCTTGTAAGTTTGGGGGTTTTTGTTGAATTTTTAAGGGTCTATTAGTTTCAGACTCATCTCATAACTTTAATTAAGCTACTAAAATGCCATTCTTTTAATCAGTCCCGTAGCCAGGAATATTTTCGAGGGGGTGGGATGAGAATCATTTTATGCACCAAATTTTAGCGCCGAAGCGGCAAAAATTTATAAGGCCGTAGGCTAAATAATTTACTTTTTCTCCCATCCCCTACCTAAATTTTTTCCTTTTTTCTATTTGGGGAGGGGGGGCAATGGAGAATTCCCCTCTGATTACGGGCCTGCTTTTAATTATCAAAAACTTTTAATTTTTAGTTTCTCCAATCTTCTTGGTGACAGCACATCAACTAGTCATATAGGACAAAATGTGAAAAAATCCCAAACAAAAAAGAATATTCCATCATCTCCATTAACTCAAAGGAAAGCACGTTCTGGAGGGGATAAAGAAGACAAAACGTTTGTTTAAACAAAATTATTTTTTAATTAAAAATTTTTTTTGTAGAAATCAGGACAGGTTTAATGCTGAAAGGCGACAACATTACCACGAAGTTAGTCAACATATGAAACAAGAAGACTTTCCAACGGCTTATGGTTTTTTTTTAATTTTAGACGAATTGATTTAAATTAAAATTTTGTTTGTAGGTTGGTCTATACCCTCAACTAAAGCAGCGGCACAAAATTTATCAATCCCAGTTCCAGTTAATTGTCGACCATTAATTGAAAATGCTTCGCCTTCACTTAAAGTATATATTTTTTGAATGGTTTTTTAAATTCATTTTTGGGTCTCTGAAGATTTTCCAATGTCGGTTCATGTAAAATCTTCAGATATTCGGAACCGAACCGAAGAACCGAAAAATAAGCGGTTCTTCGGTTTGGGTTGGTCCAGAACCGACAGCCATAGTCTTAAATTATTGTATGATTTTTACAGTTTAGGATGTTCTCTTACTTTTCCCATTAGAACAGGTCAATAGCTTATTGTTTGATTTTTTCAAGACTTGAAAATAGACCCCTAATTATAAGTATGATCAAGCCTGAAAGGAATCGAAACATATAACTCATTCCTAGTCTCGAATCTAAACTCAAAACCCTTAAAAACTAGGACAGTTTTGGGCTTCCTGCTTTCAATTACACAACCTGGAATTGAGTCGTCCACTTCATTTGGTCGTAATAATCCCCACTTTTTTCCTTTCCATTTTTACAATTTTATTTTTATTAATTTTTTTAATTTATAGATTTGTTGTGCTGCTTCTTGTTCCCTTCATGGAGGATTAAGTAATGGTGAATATATTGTTGGTGATCCAATACTTGGCTGTGATCCCTATTTATTTTTAAAAAATAATTTTCAACGAAGTAACAATGAAAATGGGGGGCGAAAATCTGTAAAAGAAATTCTTTTAATTTTTTCAAAAAATTTTTTTCAGATTGGCGAAATCAAAAAATTAAATGGTTCAGAATTTTCTCTTTTGGAATCTTCAAGTTTAGTTTGGATTTGTAGTTCCAGTGAAATTCAAAAACCTTTTGTGACTATTTTGGATGTTAATTGTCCAAATTCAATACTTGAAGGATTTGAAATTAATGAAATTGGGGCTAGAATATTTTGTATTGCTAGTGTTTCTGGTAAATTGTTTAAAATTTAAAACATACATTATTTTTTTAATTGTAGTCACACAGTTTCTTTAATTTTTATTTTTTTGTCGGGCTTTTGGTGAAAATAATGTCAGGACTTTGAAATTATGATACATTCCTTTTTTTAAGGAAAACAATTTTTCCCCATCCTCGTCTTACAAGTAGAGATTAAGCCGAGACAGGATCTCGAACTAACTCTCGGTTATCGAGATTTTTCGGTATGCGATCTCGATTCTGTGCGATCCCAGCATGTCTCTTCTTACAGAATATTTTTGAATAATATCAAGCTGGATCAAAGAGAATGACTTTGGGTTATATTTTGGTTAACTTTCAGGACTTTTGCTCCTTTCTGACCTTTTTTCACTCATGTATTTTTCTTAAAACACAAAAAATTAATTTAAAAATTTAAAGGAATTCATTATTCTGATATTCGAATAACTGAAGAAGGTTTAAATTCTGATTCAGAATTATGTACAAGAGGAGGTTATTTTGAAAAGAGCAAAACTTTAATTGAATCTATAATGGATTTTGAATTATTTGGATCTGTTGAATTTATAAAATTGCAATTATCTACTAAAAAAGGAGAAGGAGAAGCTACTCAAACATTGATTTGGGAAGGACAACAAAAAATGACTTCGCCTTCTAAAAGGAGAAGAGATTGTAAGAGGGGGTTTTCTTTTTAAAAAAGACTTTGAAAATTATATTCATAGGGTGCGGGATTAATTTAAAGTAATATTGAATTTAGAATTTTATTAAATTTTTAAAGAGAATTGCTCGATTCTCTTATTGGTTTTCACCTTTTAGACTCCCACCGTACACTCTACGTTCCTTTGGAAGTCCCAAGATTTTTATTTGGGTTGGTTGTAAAGTCGAGGATCCGCGGTTCATGGTTTCTCTCCCTTTAATAGAAGGTACAGCCCAAGTAGGCGCGCGGCCATACTAGCGCAAAGCCATAACTTGCTTCAAGATTTTTGAATCTACCAAATTTCTACTTGGGCGCCTCTAATAGATTTATGTAATTTTCGGGAACACAAATTTTAAATAATTTTAAATTTTACTCTCTTTTATTCTAATAATAATCATTTTTTAGCCAGTATTAATGAATCACTTCAATTAAATGATACTAGTATTGTTAATGTTGAAGGATGTAAGTTTTTTTTAAATTTTTTAGTGGAAATAGAAAAATTATAAAGTCGTACCTCTAATTTTTTTATACTTTAATTTGGAGCTGTCCAATAGCGAAAATTTTCTCGGACTCGAGACTGAGTCCAAAACTGTATCCAAAGACTAAGACTTGACCTAAAAAGCAATACTGAAAAATTCTAAGAAATGTCTTTAATTCTTGGACAGCTTTACCTCATTTTAATTGGCTTTATCTATCCATTGTCAGTAATAATTTTTTAAATCTCTATGTTATTTAGTGGTTCGACTTTATTTAAAAAAAAGGTATATATTTTTAATAATCCCAAAATTTAATCATCAAAGTGGCCACTCGTTCGTCTCTGTTGAGACAAAAAACAGCGCTCCATAGAAATTTGGCAATACCCCTCCAAGAGGATAATATAAATAATAATAATAGTGAAGGTGATGATGAATTTAGCAAAATTAATTTTGAAGAAAAAAAGTTTGGAAAAAATGAACAAAAAATTGAACCAATCTCTGAGCAAATAAACAAGCTTGGAGAAAGTCAGGGTGAAAAAAGAAATTATAAACTTTTTTTTGTTTATTATTTTTTGTTCTTCTTTTTCTTTCTTTTTGAGTTGTGTCACTTTTTCGTTTTTGGGGTCTATAAACTATCTTAAAAAAGTTGGTCAATAATTCAAGTTTTGTTACTACTTATACTTGTAGCCAGCGCTCGATCAGGATCTCGTGAGTGCAATCCCATTTCCTCCATATTTTTTTTGATTTTGGGGTTTATCGCGAAAAATCTTGTCCAGCAAAAATGAAAAAACCCCTATTTGAAAAAATTTGCGCTACTTTGCCGACCACCAATCCTTAATACGTTTGTTTAAATTAGTGTTGAAAAAATATTCTTTTCGAATGCCTACAGGTTTAAGGTTCGAACCCCACCATTAGAAATTTATTTTACCGAAAATATATATTTTAAATAAATTATTGACCAATATAAAGCGCTTAACTTTCTCCTTTTTTAAAAACTTTTTTATCATTACATATTACAAAATTATTTTAAAATTCCAGATCCAAGCCCTTCTCCTCTTGACAAACTTTCTTTACATATCCGAAATACTCTTAAACGTTATGAAGCTTTACCTGATGAGGATATTTTAACACTTCCTTTAATGTGGATTGGAACAGAAAGCGAATAGTTAAATTAAAAAAATTATTTTCCTAACCAAACTTTTAAATTTTAAGTATTTATATTTACTCGTCAGTCAAGGATTGGAGAAAATGTTTAAGATGTATTAAAATGCCCGATGCTGTTCTTTCAATTTTGTGAGTTATAAATGTTTTTAGAAATGGGGTTTTTAACACTAGAAAATATAACCAGAGTCAAAAATTCATTAGTCAAAGAAATTCTTCGTCATGAAACACTAAATAACAAGAAATTTTTGTGCACCTTTTGTAAATAGGCATGTTTTGTGTTCATGTCGGGCCGGATCTGATTACATTTTTCTGACTAATCCGGCTCGGAAATAATCCGGAGATAACGAAAAAAATCCCGATTTGGGACTCGCACTCTTGAAAAATCCGGCCTGATCTGTTCCGCAAATTTTCGTGGATCATTAGAGAAATCCGTTACGAAACACGAAATAACAGGAAATTTTTGTGAACCTTAGGATGTTGTGTGTTTCATGTCATTTCATGTCAAACCTGATATGATTACATTTTTCTGGACATCCACCTCTGGAAATAATCCGGAGATAACGGAAAAATCTGGATTTGGTGCATCTTACGATGATGAACACTAATTTTAACAATTTTTTAGACATTCAAATGGCCGTGTATTTGTAGCTTTAGCAAATGGATGTATTGCAGTATTTCACCGAGATATGAAAGGTCGTTGGTCTGATATTGGTTTTCATTTAATGCAAATAGGGCCGTCAGATGCTTCTGTCTGTTATTTACACCAAGTTTATGGAAAAATTTGGGCAGCTTGTAAAAATTGTATTGTTGTTTTTGATCCGGTTACTTTGAGGGTTGATGTAAGGGGAATTTTTGTTAATTTAAAAATTAAAAGTAGGGGGTTGTGCGTGGCTGGACCCGAAAGGCGAGGGTCAAAAATCGGCTATAACCAAAAACTAGTTGGCAAATCCGGCAGTTTTAAAATTACACATCCTAGTGACAAAATTTTTTTTGTTTCATTTCGATCAATACTCTTTGTTAAAATAAAATAGGTTTCCATTGCTGGGATTCGAACCTTTGACCTTTAAATATTGAAAGCTGAAACCTTCCAATTACACCAAAAACAACCGCTAGAGCCATTTTTCTACGTATTAAATTTTCCCAAATTTTTAGAGTATTTTCCCTGCACATCCAAGAAAGGACAGTAAAATAAGACAATTTGCACATTACGGAAGTGGTGTTTGGATTTCTATAAGATTGGATTCAACAATTAGATTATTTCATGCAGAGACATATCAACATTTACAAGATTTGGATGTTGAATCTTTTATTATAAAAATGCTTGGTTAATGAGACATTTTAAATCATTATTTTTAAATATAGGCTGACCTACACACAATTTTTGAGAGTTATGAGGGGCCTTTTAAATTGGGAGGTATCGAGTAGATAGTTAGGTCCCCTGCCTAAAGATATTCTAAGGCATCTATCAATATGCATATTGTGTGTATTTAACACATGTGGGTTCAAAAAATAGTCGGGGTTTTGAAATTTTTTCGGATTGATTAAGAGAGGGATACCGGGGGAATTACTGGGATTAAGGTAGATTTGATTGGATTAAAACTAATATCAGAGAATTTGAAGATTAAGGTGAATATCAAGGGGGGTCGGAAAATTTTGGGTTTCAGGTAACCCCCTTCCCATCCTTAATGTGAGGTATTTAATAAATTAAAATAAATTTTCTGTAGGTCCAAACAAATTAGACTTGGTACTTTTACGAATTACTTCTCTAAGTATTTTGGATAAAAGAATTTGGATTGGTATTGGCTCTGGAATTATTGTTTCAATACCTTTTGGTTGTGAAGGTAATTAAATAATTTAGAAAAATCAAAAAATTTCCCCTTAAGATAATTCTTCAAATAATAAATCTACAAGTGAAAAAGCAAAAGGACCAGGCCAAGTAATTAGAGTAATGAACACAACAGAAAATGCGGAGGGGGATAAAACTTCAATAATTCCTTTCTGTGAAATATCAAATGCTCAATTAAGCTTTCATGGACATAAAGATCCTGTTCGTTTTCTAGTCCCTGTACTTGCTGGTTTGTTTTTATTTTTTGGCTTTTGTTATTGTTTTAGAGAAAAAACTTGCTCGTATAGGAGGAAGTTAGATAGGGGCCTGTCCTATTTACGAATGGGGAGGGGGTGTAGATATGGATGTGTGAAACTGAGTGGAGTTGATGGAAATCTGTCGTCCGCCTGTTCGAACATTAGGCTCAACGAACCCAGACAAGTGGGAGAAAAGTGATTCCCTCCCTTCTAACTCCCAATTCTTCTAATCGACTTCCAGCCAACTAAGCTCTTTTCTTTATTTTCCTTTGGATTTTTATAAGAATTGAATTGACCATTTAATCCTGCCTTACTAATAAAATTATTTTTCAGAAGGTTTCTCAGATTTGACTTACAATTCAGAACAAACAAAAGCTTATATGGTATCTGGAGGTGACGGATATATTGACTTTCGTTTAGGTAAATTGGCGAAAAAAGGGAAAATCTTTTTAAAAATTTTTACAGGTGATGACACTTCTTGTGAAGAAAATACTAACAGTCCATCTCAAAATAATAACAATTCAAATGTTAGGGATATGTCTCATTTACTTATGTGGGAAAATGATTGTTCATTAGAATGGATGAAGACTTGAGAAAAAAAAGAACCTCATTTTAATATATATATATTTAATATAATCCCGAGTAAATTTTTATAGATATTAATAACAATTTATAAATAATTATTTAATAGAAATTTTAAATTTAGAAAAAAATGCTGAAACATATCAAAAGAGATACGAATTAAGCTTTCGCATCGTATACATCACAAGGAACGAGCCGACAAGAAAATTAAATTCACGATTTCTGGGAATCGGGAAGGCTCGTTCCCTTGTATATACATAGAACATGTTACATAAAAACCGCCTCTTTACAAAACATTGCTCACCCTAAAGTTTCGAAAACCCTTTACATAATTACATGAAAAAAGACAGGAAATTTTTAAAAAGTGGAAAGTTAGAGGCGTAAGAAGAGAACAAAAATATAAGGAAAAGTGTTCTTGAAAATATCACCTAAAAGTCGAAAAAAACCTCGAAAAAAAACTCCTTATCAGAGCTGTTCCAAAATTTCGATTTTCGAGGTTTTTTCGACTTTTTGGTGAGATTTTCAAGAACAAACTCTTTTCCTTATATTTTTATACAACAAAAAAATACACAATTTTTTTTACATATTTAAGCAGGTCTAGAAGGCATAATTAAAATAGCTGGAGGGGAATGTTGTAAAGCAAAAGCTGCCAACATTTGACATAATTGAATAAAAACAATACAAGAATAAATTAAATTTTTTTCTTTAATTGTTAAATTTAAAAAATTATTTTGCCCTTCTAAAGAAGCTATTGTTGAAGAGAAAAATAATTTATTATTATTATTTCTTCTTTCCCTTTGTTGAAAATTAGAATTTAAATTTTTAAGCAATTTATTATTTTTAAATATTCGAATTAATAATTGTTCAAATAATTCTTGGGAAATTTGTTTGTTGTTTATTACAGACAAATCTATTTGATTTTTAACTTGTTTTAGTATCTAAAAATGAAGGGGAAATTTATTTGGGACAAAAGAAAGGGATTTCTAAGCAAGCGAGACAAAATGTGGGTAAAATAAAAACAAGAAAATTAATTTTTGTTTCGAAATGTCGATTTTCGAAAATTTCTTAGTTTCGAAATGGCTCTAGTTAGGGGACAAAAGAACTTTTAAAAAACCAAAAGAGAAAGTGGAAAACCCCTAATAAAGTGAGCTCTAATTAACGTTACTCTTCTCATGTCATTTCCCCCTCTTACGTCTAATTCGTCCCCGAGGAACGTGTTTTGACTGATTTAAAGTCACTACCTATGACATTTCCCAAAATCTTTCCTAAAGGATGCCGTTATATATGTAGACTACCTCACATATTCTTAGTGATATCCAATACTTTTCTTCTAATTAAAAATCTGGAAAAATTCTTTGCGGATATTTTTAAATAATCAACTAACTTAAAAGCAGTTGTTTAAAAATTTCGATTTTCGAGGTTTTTTTCGATTTCGACTTTTTGGTAATATTTTCGAATTCCGAATTTTTTTTGTTTCGAAACAACTCTACCTTAAAAATAGCAACAAAAACCCCAATCAAAAATTCAAATACCAAAAACAAACTCACATCATTTATCTTCAAAAGAGGCAAATTTCCACGTAAAGAATCCACATAAAATAAATAGGCGGTAAGTAAAGGTTGAGGATATGAAAATAATAAATTAAAAACTCCGAGTAATTGAATATTTGTATTAAAACTGTTTTCGGTTAAATTGGAGAGAATATCAAATAATGATTCTAATAATATTCCAGCACCTTTAAATTGAATAATTCTAGTTTTTAAAAAAATATTACAAAAAGGTCAACTCTTTATTGTCAGAATGGTCAAATTTAAGGAACTTATGCCTCCATTTACTCACAAGACACGTCCAAGTGTTGGCCCGTTTATTCGCCAATCACACCATTTATTCGCAGGGCAACAAAAAGTTTATGTAACCTAACTCGAGTAAGTACTCGGGTTAGTACATATAGTACTAACCCGAGCAACAATCCGAGCCCACGTTAACCCGAGCCAATAGGATTGGTTGACCGTTTTGAGCCTCTCTTGAGCTTGCGAATAAATTGGGAGTGTACTTAAACTGCAAAAGTCCCAAATTTAAAATGGCCAGAAGTTACATGATCGTTTATCAACTAAGACACTAACAAAAATACAACTATGATTAATTTGACCATAACAAGATTGACCATTTTTAAAAAATCCAAGGGTTGACCATTTTGCACCCAATTCTATTTAAACAGTTTAATGTTTAAATACCTTTTTCCTCAGTTGATTTCATTAAAATTCCCCCATTAATATTCAAAAACACTTCTTCCCCTCCACTTTCCCCCTCCAAATTTAATCTAAAAGGATTTGGCTCTTTTGACATTTGTTGTGTTAATTCCAATTTTTCAATTCTCAATTCTTCCAAATGTTGCCAACGAGCGTCAATTAAAGATAAATCTTCAATTAACAATTTATTTTCATTATTTGAAGAACGAGTAGGTAATAAATTCAATAAATTGATAAATTTGTTTCTATCCTTTAAAAAAATAAAATAAAAATTATTTGGAATTTTTTAGATTTTTGTGGATATGAAGGATCCTGCCGAAATTCCCGATTTCAAAAAAGTCGGGAATTTTCAATTTTCGTGGAATCTATATATAGGATTCCATGTTTTTGAAAGTTGAGTTTAAAAAGATCGTCAAGACACACAAAACAAACAAGCAAACCAGTTTATGCTAGTTGGTGAACATATTTTCAAAAGGGTTTTTATCAGATCGTTTCAGAAAAAATTTTGCATAAGAAAATCAATAAGTCTTAAAGGGTTAATGGATCCAGTTCCAAAAAAAGTCAGGATATCCGAAAATTTTCAGTTCGGATATAAAAGATTAGGATTTCATAGGACCCAACAGTTGTTATGAAAAATGGTTATAGTATAAAAATGATCCCTAGCTTTGATTGGCAAATGGACTTTTCGATAGTTTCAGGAGTACCGAAAACTAACGGCTCAATACTACCGTCAGTATCTCGGTAGCTCGAACTATGCCGAGCAATAGTTTTAATCTGCCAATATTTTAACATTATTTTGAAATTTATACGATTTACCATTTTGAACCCCTTTTTAAACAAAATATTGAACCCTTCGTCTATCACTGATAATTTAATTTTTAAATTTAAATACCAACATTTTTAGCCTCATTCCAATTTGTTTGAACAACAGCAGACATAAAAGGTGAAAGTGTTGGTTGTTGTTGTTTAATTAAATTAATAGATAAATTAGATTGTCTTTTTTCACTATCAGAATTTGAATTATTGTTTATTTTTGTTGCCAAAATATTTTTTTGTTTTTTATTAGACAAAAATTCTTCTTGTGAATCTTCTTCAGAATTTCTTCTCGAAAAACTATCCAAATCCGATTCAGAAACTCGGTCATAAATAAATTGAAAATAGTCGGGTCTGTTGTCTTCGTTTTCATTTAAAACACTGTAAAAAATATTTTTTTAAATTAGGTTTGAAGGAAGGGGAACAGCTAAAAATATTTTAATTTGTATTCCGCAACCATGCAACATGCCCAAAATTTGATGAACGGGACCTACCTAATTATTTCGTATTAAGGCCAGTAGCCAGGGTAGGAGAGGGTCCCGCATTGTGTGTAACAGGGATGTGCCAAAACAGATTTTAAAAAGCGAAAGTCGAGATTGCGAAAGCCCAAAAAAGGCGGAATTTTGGCGAACGACGAAATGGCACATCCTTGGTGTGTATGTAACATAACTCTGGATGAATTGAGCTTTCTATTCCCATATATTTTGTGGTACTAAAATGCAGAACTGGGTACTTATCGCCATTGAACGCATAAAAATTTGAATGGACGCATAAACTTTTCATTAGGCGCGTATTCTGGACAAGAAACAATCCTTTTTTCTAAAAAGTGTTTTTTCTAAAATCCCATTCTCCAAATAATTTATAATCTCAAAAAAATATTCTACCTCGCCTCCCCAAATTCTTCTTGTGAAGACAAATTATTAATTACTTCATTTCCATCTTCTAAACGTTCAATTAAATTAGTCAATTGTTCATCATCTTCCCCCAAACTATTTAAATTTGTATTGTTTGATTCTAATTCTCCTTCAAGTAAAGTCCCTCGACCTGAACGGTTAGAATGTCCATAACGATTCCATCCTGTTGAGGCAAAAGAAGAACGGGCTGAGGAATGACGAGTAAATGCCTTTTAATTAAAGAAAATATTTTTTTAATATTTTTGCGGGATAGAATTTGAACGAGAAATGAATTTTTGGTACAATCTAGTTATACCAGAAATTTCCGCAAATTTTTGTTCGCAAGTTTTAAGTTTTACTAATTACACAGGATTATTTGATACATATTAATATAATTATTTTGGTTTAGCACGAGAAATATTTTTATGACTTAAAAAATTGCTGACATTCCCGGTATATGTAAGTAAAAAAGCAACACTACTTTTCCTATTTTATAAAAAAAGCGCTAACTTTGTGGATAATCCAGAAAAAAATAAGAAATGACGGGCCTTCTCTTTATTCTTTTTTTCAGAAAAGAAGGGGGATAAATAGCTAAAATAAACTAAAATGAAAATATTGACCCAAGTGAGTCATTTTATAATGAAAAGGACACCTTCTGGTAATAAAATGCCTAATCTTACAAGAGGATAATGGGTTTCCAAAAATATTTCTTTTACTAAACCCCAAAAATTATTTTTACTAAAAAACCTGTCTAGGTGTAACAATCATTCCTTCAGAATTTATTAATTTTTGTGGATTACACAACAAAGATTTTGGCAGACTTCCATCATATTTTAATGCCCAACAAGAGCAACATTCTTCACAATCACGGATTGATTTGCCCGCTTCTCGTAAATATGTTTCGAATTGTTCTTCCGAACAGAGCTGAATAAAAATAACAATTTTTATGAGATTATCAGTGAGGGTGAAATGTGACAGAACGGTAAAAGGACAAAATTCAGATCATATAAATAAACAGATGGATTAAAGAAATATTTGGGATGGAAGACAAAAAAATAACAAATTTCCGTTGTGGTATTTTTTCAATTGGCATTCTGTCGCTTTTAACGTTAATGGGCATTTTGTCTTAAAATACCCATCAATCAAAATATTGTTAAAGACTAAATTCTCGTTAAAAAAATTTTAAATGAAAATTAAAAAAAACCTCCAAAACATTTTTAGCACATTCAGGAATACATTTAAGAAAATAATTTGCAGAATTTAACGAAATATTTGCATCAAACCGTCTACTCTGGTTTGGATGTCTTAATTGAATGAAAGGAAGTAAATGACGAAATATTGTAGACCAAAGAAAATCTTCACAGTGTAATGATAATAATGTACGAATTAAAGAAAGTGTTACTCTACAAAGCTGAAAAATAAAAAAAAATTGAAAAAAGTGAAAAAAAATTTTGGGACAGTTTGGTGTAGTTGGATAAGTTTTGGTTTTGTGGGTAAAAGTATGAAGGTTCGATTCCGGTGGTAGGAGGTACATTTTTTAGTCTTTAATTATTTATTCTTTTCACTTTTTTGGGGTTTTGGGGGATATAGAGATTTAGAAAAAATTAAATTTGAATGCAGATAACCCTCAAAAATTATTTTTAAATTCAATTTAAAACGGTCTCGAGTCTGTCAAGATCCTTTGAGCAAAATTGATTTTTAAGGTTAAACAAGAAAGGAAAAAATAAATTTTCCTTGTCTTTCTTAATTTAGTTTCTAATGTAAGTCGTTATTAATTTAGGTGGATCACAAAAAAAATTTAAATTAAAATTAGAGAGATTAAAGCTATTCCAAAGATTACCTAGTTTTGCTTAACAAAAAGACTTTTCGTCGGATTTTTTTGGTTTTAAGGATAAAAGTTTTTTAGTGACAGTTCGATATGGTTCCTTGTAAGACGTTTTTAATTTAAGTGTATCAACAAAAAAAATTTTCCAATTAAAGATTAGAGGGATTTAAAGCTGTTTAAAGACTTCTTATTGATAGTCCTGCCTAACATTAAAACTTTTCTTTAGTCTTTTTTTTTGGTTTTACGAATAATAGAAATATTTTTTGCCCTTAAATATTCAAAAACAAACTCAACCCTATCACTTTCATGCATTTTAACCAAAATTTGTTCAAATAAATTCATTTCTTCTTCTTCACTTTTTCCTTCTCCATTTGTACTAGTAGTTAACAAGATTTTTATAAATGCTTGCAATAATGATGAAGCAGAAATTGTTTCAATACATAAATGAAAATAAACAATACGAGAACATAATTCTTCTTCTTTTGGTTCTGACTAAAAATTAATAATCTGAATGACATGAGTTACAAAAGCTTAGCCAAGGGAGCTGGGGGGAGGGGAGGCTGAAGCCCAAAGTGAAGCCAATGAAGCCCAATGCCCAAGCTGAAGCCCCAACCCCACTTTTCCCAAGAAATGGGAGAAAGTGGAAAATTTTAAGGAGGGAAATGATCAATAGAATGAATTTTTTCGCCTACAACCCCAAAAATTCTCAAAATTTAAGCCTGAAAATGGAAGAAATTTGGCTTTTGACCTTCCAAAGTAATGTCACCCCTCTCAATAAATTTTTAAAAAAACCTCAACAATAGATGATTTAAACACTTTTAACAAAAATCCAGTGTAAATAAAGTGAACAATTTGACGGGTAATTGAATAATGGGCAATTTGCGCAACAGAATTTGTAAAAAGTAAAGCATTGTGGAATTCATAAAGTTGAGGCTTAAATAAAAAAAATTTTAAATTAAAAAAAATCCGCAAATTTTGTCCGCAAATATTTTGCGGACAAAATTTGCAGATTTTCGGAAAGTAAAAAACAAACAAACCATTCCTTTAACATCAAAAACACTTAATTTGTGAGCTTCATTGGAATCTAAAGCAAATTCTGAAAATACACATTTTGGGAGTTGAGAAAAACAAGCAGAAAGACCAGCAGACATTACATGACATAAATCTCCCTAAAAACGTTAAAATTAAATAATAAATCTATTAAAGGCAGGGTCGGTTCATTCCAGTATTTTTGTTTTCCATCCTCCTGCTTCGCTCAAAATTCGAAACAGAAGAGGGGCGGAACAGCGTAGCGCGCATTTATGGCAAAAAGTTGACATGGCAAACCCCCTAAGAGCCGTTGAAAGGGCAAAACGGATAAATGAAGCAGGCATGGCAAAGCCCTAATAGCATTTCGGCTGTTTGCCATTAGGGTCCTTTGCCATTTAGGCGTTTTGTCATTACGGCTTCATACCTCGGAATAGTGGAGGTCACAAGTTACATGAAATCCCAACTTTTTTCCGACTCGACCTCAAATCCGACTTCCTTCTCAATCCAAAGTATATAAAAATAAATAAAAGACAAAATATCCCAAATAGCCATTAAAAAATAAAAAAACCTTTTGAATTATATGTTCAGCAATAAATTCATTTTTGCTAGAAGCCGACATAATTAACAACAAAGCATCCCTAGCTAGTTGGCTAGTAAATTCAGGTCCATAAAGATAGGGGACTAGCATATCAAAAATTAAAAAAGGTTTGTGTAAATTCTGTTCATTTAGTAAAATTGCTTCGTTTTTTGGAGAATTACTTCCTTCTATTATTGCCCAATCTTCATTTAAAATTAATGAGGAATCAAAAAAGAAGTGTAAAAGAGTTTCGTGTTCTGCTATTTGACGAAAAATCTGAAAAGAATTTTTTGAGAACAAAAAGGAAAACTCTTTGACAAGGGAACATTGTCTACTTTGTAAAAACAAAATCAAAGTCTTGCACACGGATTCGATAAAGGACCAGGGATTTGGGCTAAAAATTTTCGAGTGACGCGCCAGACGCCAAAAACGGATGCCAAACACAAAAAATTTTGGGAGAGACAATAACTTCTTTCGACCCGAAAACTCATCCGGAAAAAAATTTTGAAGCCCGATCCGAACTGTGATCCAATTCTTTTCTCGACCCGGCCCATCTCTGGTACACAGTAGACAATGTATCTTACAAGGGAACCACTCAAACTGACACCAAAAAACCGCTCCAAAAGATTGAAACTTTAAACCCCTATAACTTTTCAATTTGGGGGTCAGGGGAAGAAAAACCAAAAATTGGCAATAGGTTATCAAACATGCTCTACAGGAAGGCATAAATTTTATTTGAAAATTTTTGGTGACAGTTCGAGTGGTTCCCTTCTTAATGAGTACCCAAATTTAAATTTAAAGACCAATTAATCCCCCTTAAAATTAAAAAAACCTGATTAATTAAATTCAACAAACAATTACTAACAACAGAATTTGGATATTTTTGTATTTTTGTAGAATGTCTAACATTAAAAGATTGTTTACACCATTGCAAAAGTTGTAATAAAGGAACAAGTATAGGTTTATGTACAAGTAAGGATTGTGGACATTGACAACAATTAACCATATTTTCGTATAAATGTAAAAGGAGAACCTTAAAAAATGCAAGGAAATTAAAATTTTTAATGAAAAAATCTATTGAATAAAAATTTATGAAGTCCAAAAAAATATTTTAAAATAAATTTTTAGCCAGAAAAATAGTTTTTGGGGAAATTAAAAATAGTTTCCCCAAGTAGGAATCGAACCTTCATCACATAAATGAAAAAAACTTAAAGCTGTCCAACTACACCAAGCATTCCGGCGAAATGAAAACCAAAAAACGATTTTCGAAAAAAGGAAATATTTAAAGGATGACATAGAATCCAAACCTTTTTATTTCAAAAGTTTTATCTGAATTTTGTTAATAGGATTTGTACTTCGTCCCAGAAAAGCCGGAGAATACAAAACTTTAAAGAAAATTTTCCGCCACCTTCACTTCCCAAGTTGCGCTGCCCCACCCTCCCCCACATTTTTTCGAGAGTGCCGGAAAATTGGGCTCTGGAAAATTGGGCTCCAAGATATTTCGGAAAATTGGGCTCCAACTTTTCGGAAAATTGGGCTCCAGCGGAAATTTGGGCTCTAAATGAAAAAAACGGAAAATTGTGCTCCAATTTTTTAAGCGCGGGAAATTTTGGCGTCAAAGTGAATTTTTGGATTTCAACAGAAAATGACACAAAATCAAACAACGTAAACCTATGGGCGTCGGCGAGGCGCTTGTGCAAAATCCCGCGCTTCGCGCGGGATTTTGCGGCATGCGCTCGCGGGAGTCAACGGTCGCTGGGTCTACAACAAGTTCAAGAATTTAAAAATCGTTCAAGAATTCAAGAAGTTAACCTCGTTCAAGAATTTAAAAAAATTTTAAAATTCTCTCAAACCTGACAAGACTGAACATAAAAAGGAGAAACTTGCACAATCCAATTGTGTGCCAACATAAGAATTGATTCCGTAAAGAATTGTTCTAAAATTGGGCCAATACTAGGTTCTGCTTGAGAATTGACTTCCATAACTAATAATTTACACAAAATAGATAAATGCTCGTTGACCTGAAGAAAATGATAAAAAAGTTAAAAATCCGCAAATTTATTGCGGATGTCCGCAATAAACTTGCGGACAAAAAACTACAGCAAATTTTTTTATTAAAAAACCTTCAAAATTGTATTTTTATCACGTCTAGTTTTATTCAAAAGTCCCTCCAATTTCTTCCAAGTAAACCCAAATTGATTCTCCCATGCAGACGGATCCGAAGCAAAATCCACATTCATCGCCCAACTTTCATCACTCCACTTTTTATTTATTAAATCCTCAACAAAAAAATCGAAAGAATTTTGGGAAGAATTTGAAGGGGTTGTTGGACTAGTAGAATGTTGTTGTTCTTCTTCAACTGAAGATTGGGGGGAAATTGTATGTTGTCCACCATGCCTTTCTCTAGAAGTAAACATTGAACGAAGACGACGCATTTAAATTTAGAAATTCTTAAATAAAAAATAAAATGGACTAGAGGTCGGTAAAAACGCATTCCCGGGATCCCGCGGGATTAATCCCGTAAATCCCGTTCGTCGCTTAAAATACGGGATTTCGGGACAGGATCTCGTAAAATCCCGACGGGATCCTGTCCCGTGCCGACCTCTAATATGGACGAGTTATCTTGAGAAAAAAATTTTTGAGTTGCCATTTGTTGCCGTTTTCGAGTCTGGCTTTTTAAAACTAAATTAGAAGTCTGTTCGGCAATCTCCAAAAATAATAGAAAATGACCCATATGCAATTTAGATATTTTGATTAGAGATTATGATTTTTCGTTTTAAAAAATTACATTTTATCTAATTCACAAAAAGACACAACCGAAAAGGCGCGGGCCAAAAAGGCGCAAGGACAAAACGGCGCACGTCCAAAAAGTCGCAACCCACAGACTGCGCAAAGTGATAGAGTGATCAATTGAGTGAACAACCGTGAATGTGAAACTGATTTTGCTTGGCAAGGATGGAAAAAAGGGGAGGAGAATGATAAGAGTAAAGGAAGAATAGTGGAAAAGTGATTAGTCGACTTAGTTCGTAGTTGGAAAGTAATCAATAGAGAATTAAAGGCAGGCAGAAGCTAAAGGCTCATTCATTAATAATTCCTCGCTAGTGCTTACACATATCCCGGGAAAGTCGGTTTCGTCACCGACCAGCAATATACATTCAAGCATAGAAAGGCCTACCCCCAATTCCGTCGCCAGGCATCGCCTCTTGGCTCGAAAATAAAAAAAATCAAACATAAATTATTTAACTATACATACACACAATTAAACAATTACAACATACATACACATTATTATCACACAATATTAACACAAATCTATTTATTTATTTAATTACAAACTTCATTCTCACAGAATAGAAATACTTTCTTTGTTTCTTTTGTTTACTGGCAGAGGCGCCTTTGATTTTTTACTACAAAAAAATTTAAAATTTTTAATTTAAAAGCTTTGCACTTTTAAAGATTTGACAATTTTTGCGGGCAAGTTTTGCGGATTTTTCCGCTTTTTTGTCTGTCATACATATCCCGCTTAAATCCAAGCCTTGACTTCAAATAAAAAAATAAAGTGCGAGGATGGACTTTACCGAAAAAAATTTTCTATTTCGTTTGTCTCCGACGCAACGAAATTTCGGCCATCCCTGATTCAAATGAGATAACCATCTCAAACCAAAGCCAAAATCCGCAAAACTTGTCCGCAAAAATGTCATATCTTCTAGAGCTCGGCACGGGACGGGACCCCGTACGGGATTTTACGGGATCCCGTCCCGGAATCCCGGGTTTTTCGCGGAAAACGGGATTACCGGGATTCCGGGATTTACGGGATTAATCCCGCGGGATCCCGTCCCGGTCGAATTTTGAAAACCCAATCCCGTTCCGGGATCCCGGGAATTTTTTTCAAATTTGCGGGATTTGTTATTACTCCAGTAAACTGCCTGCAGAGCTGAAAAAGGAAGAAATCTGGCTTCGTGGCCTTCCAAAATTCTCAAAATTTTCGCCTGCGGCGCTGAAAATGGAAGAAATCTTCTGACTTACTCTCAAAAATTCTCAAAATTTTCGCCTGCGGCGCTAGAAAATGAAAAAAGCGGGCTTCTTAGCCTTTCAAAAAAGACTAAAGTTGGCTTCACCTTCCAAAATTCGAAAAATCATCCTGTGTTGGATGATTACGAGTAATAGAAATGGATCTTGGGATTAACAGAAATATAGGGGGATTGTGAGGTGTACGTGGTTTGTGAGGTTTATATCCACTTAAGTTCAATTCCGGAGGATTAAGAGATATATGATGTTGGGGTATTTGAAAATGGATATCATGGGTTTGGGATTAACACAGGATTAAAAAGGATTTGGAGGATAATAGTGGGTATCAGGGATTTATGGATTAAGAGATATATCAGGATCTGTGGATTAAGAGTATTGAGGGATTAGATGAATAATCCCCATATATCCATTCAAATCCAGTTGAGCCATCTAAATCCGCTATATTCGCCTTAACCCACCGTTCTTCAAATCACTCTTTATCACTCCCAATATACCGATATCACCCTAAATCCACCTATAAGCATTCAAATCCTTTTAATCTCTCTTAATCCACTGATATCCCTCTTAATCCTCTGATATATTCATTTGTCCCTTAAATCAATCGAAATCCACCGATATTGTCTTCAAATCCGCCGATATTCAACATATTTATAAATTTTAAAATTTTTTTGTGAAAATCCCGGAATCCCGGCGGGATCCCGGGAAATTTGAAAACGGGATTACCGGGATTCCGGGATTTACGGGATTAATCCCGCGGGATCCCGTCCCGTACAAAATTTTGAAAAAAAAATCCCGTTCCGGGATCCCGGGAATGCGATTTTGCCGACCTCTAATATCTTCCTTAAAAGTGCAAAAACATTTTTTTAAATTTTACTTGATTGTTGACTTGATTGCTGATTTCTCTCTGTCACTATCAGTAAGAAGCGAAGGTGGCAATCTATTTTTGAAAGAAAAAAATTTTTTCCTTTAAAATTCAAAAAAAATTCTTACGCAGAATATTTTGTAAGCGGAAAATCAATTTTGCTGCTGCCCATATCTGTTTTGCTAGCATTATTCTTGTTGTAAACATCTGCTGAAGGTTGTGTCTTTTGGGGTTTTGGTTTTGGTGGTTTATAATGATATGTTGAACTAGCAGCAACATTATATTTTTTCTTAGGCTTTTGTTTCTTAACACAAAAGCATCGCCAAACAAAACACAGAACAACGACTAAAACAAAACTAGAAAAGAGAAAAAATATTTTTTTGGAGTTAATTGAAAAAGTTGAAACTTTGGTCAACAAGATTAAAACTTTTTTGCGGCGCCCACAATCCCTCTCTTGATGACCAAAACTTCCAGCCACTTATTAACCAAACTAAACCCACACAGCAATAATAGCCAAAGATGCCTTGCCCATATCCGAGGAAACAAATTCTTCCAAAAAACTTTCAATACCATCTCCATTTCCCGTTGTCATCTCAACTGTTGTGGTAGGCGGCTCTGTTGTTGTTGTTGTGGTTGAAGAAGTAAGGATTTGTTCTGTTGAAGTAACGTTTGTTTGATCGGGCATTATTTGAGGGGAAAAGATTTTGAAGTTAGAGAGGGCTCTTTTATAGTAAAAAATTAGACAGTCTTCAGTTGGGAATAGGACTTTTTCAAAATTTTAATTTTCGTTTTCAAAGTTTTAGTCAAACCAAATCTGTCTAATAGTGTCGTGTCCCGGCCCCGTTACTTAATGGCAAACCAGAAAAAAAGTGCCGCAGCTTATTTAAACACTCCAATATGACGAAAAACCGTCGCCGTTTTTCTCTCTCATTTTTCCATACTATTTTCGACGGAAAATGCTAGCTTTTTGAATTAAATTTTATATAGACAATTTTGGCATAATGTCTATTTATTTTATAGATAATATAACAGACATAGAAAGAAACTTGCCGATTTTTGTCTTCGTTTTTCAAATTTTAGTTTGTATTATTTCTTTCATTTTCTTTTAATTTTCTTGTTTTTTAGAGAGTTAAAATTTTTTTCAAAATAATATTACTGCTCTACCAGTGCCTATGGAATGATGAAATGGATGAGTTGATGTTGACAAATTATGATTTTTTAAACGATCAATGCTTTCGGCCGAGTATTTTTAAGGTTTTTTTTTAAATTTTGGGGGTTTAAAATACCGGCTCATGTTGTGTAGAGGTTGCCGATTAGACATGCGTACATTGCATAGGGATGGGTCGGGTAATCCGAAACAAGTTTTTTTCGAATTGAACCCTCAATCTGAAACATGCCCTCCACGGAATTTTGTGGCTTTTTGTCTTTCCAAAACTTTCCACTGAGTCGCTAAGAAAGGAAAATAACTGGCTTTCTGACCTATCCGAATTTTTCAACTCGACCCATCCCTGATATGTGTATAATGCAACGACTGAATATGATGAGAAGGGCATTCTTTTCCTCTGTTACACAATCATGTTCAGGTCGATAGGATAATTTCCAAACAGATTAGATTATAAAAACGTGTGTGTTTGAAGGCAACATTTGATCGTGACCGGACAATCCGTCAGTGGACAATCCGGCAGTGGAAAATCCGTCAGTGGACAATCCGTCAGTGGTCGGACAATCCGTCAGTGGACAATCCGTCAGTGAATAAATTCGTAATTTTTACCTATTTCCAAAGAAACGCGGCCAAAAATTTTCATTTTATCGTGTGTGGATTATAATTAGGGCTGGGAAAAATATGCACGCAAAATCGCCAAATATGCGCATGTATATGCACCGAAAAACCCCAAAATATGCACCAAAATATGCACTACATATGCAGCAAAAAATGGCGAAAATTTGTTTTAAAATTCAATTTTTTAAGTATAAAACACTATTTTGGTCTTTAAAATTGCAATTTTAGATTATCTCAATAAAATTTTATGAACATTAAATTTTCGCAAAAAAATTTTCGCAAAAAAATTTCTCAAAAAATTTTTAGAAAATTTTTTTTCAAAAAATTTTTCTAAAAATTTTTTTGGCAAAAAAAAATCCAAAAATTTTCAAATTTTGACCAATTTTTACTAAAATTTACCAAAATATGCCGAAATATGGAGCAAAATATGCAAAATTTGCCAAAATATGCATCGATATGCAAATATGCACGAGAGGGCCGAAATATGCAAAAATATGCATTAGGAACCGGGTCCTAAAATGCTCGGACCAATGTAAAAATACCATTTTTGGGCTTCTCTCATCAAGGCATATCCGCATACAAAACATGCATTTGCATGTTTTTCCCAGCCCTAATTATAATAGATATCGAAAATTTGGAGATTAATGAGGAAATCAGCAGATTTAGCTGGATTAAAAGGATATCAGGGGATTTGAAATTTATTGGGCAATTTGATTGTATTAAGCGAATGTCGATGGATTTTGAAGGATATAGGGGATTTGGATATTTTCGATTTACGTGATTAACGGATGGGATTATGTTGGATTTAGATGAATATCGTGGAATTGTGTGAAATCCATGAATAAGACAGATTGTTCTTAGATGGATATCATGGAATAACCTTTAAATCCTCATAATCCGCCTATATCCCTTGATATCCTACTTTGTCCCCGAAATCCATAATAATCTCCCTGATTCCGTAATAACTATCATAATACTGCAAGTCTTTTATATTCCCCTTAATGCCACAATATCTTTGAAATCCCCGATATCTCCCAAATCCACTGATATCCTTTTAATCCAGCTAAATCTGCCGATTTCCTCATTAATCTCCAAATTTTCGATATCTCTTATAATCCCCCACACGATAAAATGAAAATTTTTGGCCGCGTTAGTTTGGATATGGGTAGAACTTTCGGATTTATTCACTGACGGATTGTCCACTGACGGATTGTCCGACCACTGACGGATTGTCCACTGACGGATTTTCCACTGCCGGATTGTCCACTGACGGATTGTCCGGGAGCCACATTTGATATACATTTTTCCCTAACTGTTCTTTTCGACGCGATTGCCAATTTAAAATTTTTCGTCTTAAAATTAGCCTGTCAATTGGAGACTTATATGCCCCCCTGCTTACCTTAAAAAATCAATATAACTCAATCAAACTGGTTTGTGGTAAATCACAAGATTTCTGAATTGAATCTAAACTAGTACTTCCCACTTTGTCGCTTGCTAAATTTTTCGCTCCTGTTTACCTTAAAAAATAAAAAGAATTAAAAATCCCTCTTGTTTGAGGGCATTTAACTAATTAGAATTTACTCACTTCTCTTGTCCAATAATTTTAACTTTTGCTGTTTTTAGAAACAAAAACCCATTTTTTAATCAC